TTTAAAAATTATTACTCCAATTAGTTTCAAATTTCATAGAAAGATCTAGTATAGATAGTTGTATGATAGAACCCACTTCTCTGAACATAAGGCTTTTTAAAAATCGAGTCAGGATCGCTGAACTCAGTCGCCCACACATTTTCAGTCGCCTTGAGGCCAGAGCTTTGCCATGTCACTTCATTTCTTTTCCTTTCCTCAGTTACAACTTTTGAGTTTAAGCATCAAGCATTTAAAGACTATGACGCCTATTTTTCATGTGTGGTATGACAGTTATTGGTTGCACTTTGGGGTGTTTTTACAGTTAATATTTTTTATCAAAATGTCTTTAATTCATTTGACTCTAGGATGTCAAACAAAGAGATTATGGGTGTAGTATTTTACCTGATGATGTACAGTCCCTTCCAAAAGTATTGGAACAGCATGCAAATGTATTTAGTTTTTGTTGTTCACTGAAGACATTTGGGTTGAAGCTCAAAAGATGAGGATGAGATGAAAGTTCAGAATTTCAGCTTTTATTTCCTGGTATTTACATTTAGATGTGTTAAACAACTCAGGACATACCACTGTTTGTATTAGACCACAGCATTTAAAGATGAGCAAAAGTAAAACAAATAATCTTAAAGTAAATTATAATTAATATTCGGTGCATAACCCACCGCCTCAACACATCAACATCAAACTGTTGCATTCTTCATTTGTGATGCTATTCCAGGCTTTTCTTTCAGTTCTTGTTTGGTTTGGGCAGTTTCTCCCTTCAGTCTCCTCTTCAGGAAGTGAAATGCACGTGTTAGGGAATTCATATTCAAATTTTATAAATGTTTTTAACTACAATGGCTGAGAATGTTAAGTCTGCCCATGAACCATATGTTTGGTTTAGTAGAAAGCTGAAGGAGGAGCTGGGTGAGCTGCTCCGTGCAGCCGGCACTCCAAGAGGTATAGGACGCCTCCGAGTCTGTGAGCTCAGCTGAACTGATAAGCGTCTATAAACAAGCTTCACACACTGCTCGTGGCAGATTCTTGTGACTGGTCTTCATGTGTCTACTTCCTGTATACCTGTGCATCCTGTCCTGAAAATCCTGTCCTTGCAAATAAATACCAGTTAAAAATCTTCTCCAAATTGTGTGTTTTTTATTTTTATTTAAGTACGTTAAGAGATAATATTTTTCTCCAGCTGTATGCTCTATTGCAGGGGCATCAAACTCACTTACAAAAGGGGGCCAAAATTAAAACCTTTTTCAAACTAAGGGCCAATTTCAGACTATACATTAACTTAAATCAGATACCCAACACCTTTTCTTGGTTACAGGTTCCTCAACAAGAGTTAGGTTGGTCTCATTTGATGTTCTCTGTTGTGCTTTCGACATCATAATCAAAGATTACTGAAAAAAATTCAAGAGCTAGAAGTATTTTACGTTTCACATATCATCTTGGGGGCCAAATAAGATGTCAATGAGGGCCACATTTGGCCCCTGGGACTTGAGTTTGACACATATGCTCTATTGTTTAAGGTCGGGTGATTGACTTGGCCCTTTTGTTTCCCTTGATGAAGTCCTTTGTTTTGTTGGCAGTGTGCTTTGGGTCATTGTTCTAATAAACCTCCTCCCATTTAAGTTGGATGCATTTCTCCTTAAATTGACAGATAAAATCTTTCTGTACACTCATTCATTCTGTTGCCACCATCATTAGCTACATCCTCAATAAGGTATAATCAGAGTCAGAGTCAGAGTTTCTTTATTGTCATTCGCACCTCATGTGGTACATGTGGTGGAGCGAAATTATGTACACAGGGTCCCAGTTACATCCAACAATAAAATGTATAAGAAAAACAGTAATAACATCTAAGATATGAACTAAGAAAAACATCAACTAAATATACACTAAGCACTCATAACATAAAACATTGAACATCAGCACAAACATGAACATGAGTCTGTGAGCCTGTTCCAGAAGCAGCCATGAACAGCCAACCCATGACATTACCTCCACCGTGCTTCACAGATGAGCTTGCGTGCTTTGGATCACAAGAAGTTCCGTTCTTTTTCCACACTTTGGCCTTTCCATCACTTCAGTAGAGACAAATCTTGGTCTCATCAGTCCATAAGAGTGTGTTCCAGGACGTTTGCGGCTCATCTCTGTACTTGTTAGCAAATTCCAATCTGGCTTTCAGATTCTTGCTGCTGATGAGTGGTTTAGATCTTGTGGTGTGGCCTCTATATTTCTGCTCTCGGAGTCTTCTTCAAACAGTGGATTGTGATATTCCTTCCATGCATTGCATGTGGAGGTCATTGGTGATGCAAGTTACTGATGCTTCGGGGGTTTCTTCACAGCTCTCGCAATATTTCTGTCGTGAACTACTGTTGTTTTCCTTGGCTGACCCATTCGTCGTCTGTTGCTCAGTAGACCGGTTGTTTCTTTCTTTTTCAGGACATTCCAAGTAGTTGTGCTTGCTATGCCCAATGTTTGTCTAATGGCCCTAATCGATTTTCCTTCTTCTATCAGCTTTAAAATACTTTGCTTTTTTCCCATACACACTTCTCTGGTCTTCATGTTGGTTTATCCTCTTTAACAAGAAATGCAGTCTTTACAAACTTAAACTGGTCATGCAGAGCTTTTTAATGTTTGAACAATCAACCTGAAGAAACACATTCAATCACATGTTCCAGTAGTTCTGATTGCTTGACAAATGGGTGGGCTCAACCAATGAGTGATATGTCTTGAGTTTTTTTTTTTTAAACACATTTAAGGTAAATCTCAGGAAATAAAAGCAGAAGTTATGAGCTCTTGTTTCATACTCATCTTTTGATCTTAAACCCAAATGTCTTCACAGAACAACAAAAACAAAACTTGCTTTGCTGTTCCAATACTTTTGGAAGGCACTGCAAATCTTATCCACTCGCTAATGGAACCTCCTAAAGCCAGGGAATATTTTGGGGGGGGGGGGGGGCATTTTATACTCAATGTATGCCATTACATAAACACTTTGCAGGAAAATTGTTTAATGCATGCAAACTTGTGACTCATCACAATAAGGATAAATACTGTAAATGTAAGAACAAATAAAAATTATGTCATGCGCAAGGAAGATGATCATATTTTCATGGTGATTTCCAACTAACGTGAAATCTAAAGAAGATTCTAAAGAAAGACAAAATCATTTTGCACCCAGATTGATGGTGTGGTTACCGTCTAAAAATAGGAATTTAAGATAATTACAGCATTTTTTGTTGTTGTTGTTGTTTTTGTGCAATTCACTGTACAATCTGCAGCACTACTGTACATCTGATTTTATTTTATTTTAATCCCACCACCACCACCATAAAAAAAAATCCGTTCACGGTTGGTTTGGACCTCTCCAAATATTATTTGGCTGTAAATGACATGAAGAATTAAGCTGTAAAAACAGCTTAGATAAACTTCTCGGCAAGTTATCTCAAAGGTGGTATAATCCTGAGACGCTTACCCTCCATTTATTATGAGTTATAAGAAAAATATATTTTAAAAAATCCAACAACTCTTTAATTATTATTTGATTTAGCATAAAAAGTACTTTTATCTTTTTTGCCAAAGAGACATGTATAGTTTGCACATTGCTATGGCCATGTCATTTATATGAGGGCATGGAACTGTTCAGTATGTCTTTACTTCCCTCTTGTGTTTGCAAGAGGAAACTGCCAGAATTTTTTAAAGTCTGAAGAAAATAGTTGGAAGATCCTCCTGAGTCATAAATGTGCTGCACAGTCTCAATCTGCCGAGCTCTGGGGCGTTGAGGGTCTTGTGTTGTACCTCATTTTCCTCCCTCAGGAAACATTTCAGCATAATTATTTTGTCAACTTTTGACTGTCAACTACAGCTGAATCAGTATATTTTTTCTCTAAAGGATATGATGAATTAAAAAGCTTGCATTTGGCTATTAATGGCAAAAGTCAAAACTGTTTATTTATTCAACTAATATTTTTATTATTCATTGGGGGGGAAATAGGTAAAAAAAAGGAAGCTAATCATGCGAATACAATTTTCACATCACCGTAGTCCTATAAATAGTAAACCAGGTATGATTAAATTATTTAAAGCTTGGAACTCCTTCAGTTTTGAATTGAGAAAGCTTAGATGGGGAACGAAACCTCTTCAACTACAGAAATCCAGTTACTTTAAAAAAATATATTATTATTTACCATAACCTGAATGACTAAAAATCTAAACCAGCATGTATCATCTAAGTTATAATTAGTTACTATTTGAAAATTACCACTTAGCATCTCATCAGGGTGAGAAACTACCTCATTATTATGTACTGTACTATTTTAAAATTAAAATGACATCTGACATGATCTTTTTTTAGTCAAAGAAATGGCAGTAATGGACTTCCACAACCGTTTGCATTTATCCAAACCTTTCTATAAAGGAGAAAAAAGTTTTAAACACTAAGTTAAACCTTAGTGTTACTTAGTTTACTTGGTATTGTATGCGCAAAACTATAAAATATATATGTGTTAAACATAAAGAATTTAAAAAACAGGAAAGGAGACAAAAAATGACCACCAGTTGCAATGATGTTCCTATTTAGAACAACTCTCTCTTTGAAAAAAAAAAAAAAAAAAAACTATTTTAAACCCGGAAGTTTAACTGTCAAGAAATGCGCATGCGCATCCACAATGACACCGCCCTATCTTTTCCAGCACAAAGAGAAATAAAATATACTAAGAGGGTTCACTCAGACTCATTTTATGAAAACCCCTCAAAAAAACGTTTTTAGAGCTTCACCAGACAAAAATGTAACCATATCATTGACATTCATGAAAACTCCAAAAAAAAAAGAATAATAACACAAATTATAACGTGTAGTAAAATTAAACATATGAATAGTTTTTTTTTTAATTTAGGAAACGCTTATTTTTGGCTGTTTTTCCCAGCAGTGTTACCATGGTTACTGAGGGTTCTTTTCGCGGGCATTTCACATGAGCATCTTATTTTTCTAAACGATCTTTGCTGTGAGACACACGTCGCCCCGCCGGTGCACGCGTGGTTTAAATGGGTGTGGCTCCTCTTGTAGTGGTCGCGCGGTGAGCACATCACGCTGAAACATGAATTGAATCGGAAGAGGAAAAACCCGAAATTCAGGTGACATGGACGCGTAGCGCTGAGTTCAGTAGGTTTCCGAGGTTGACGTCTCCGCGGCAGATTCACTGGAGCTCAGTCAACCAAAACAAAGGTAAATAACGCGAGTTTCACGTGACGCTGAGGTGTGTAACATGTTTCTCGAGAATGCTTGTATTTAAGAATAAAACCGTTCGCAGATTCAAGTAGTTTTCCTTATGTAAGTGGCTGCTTGTGCACAGCTCTGCTCAAAGGCTCCATTCATTAAAACAAGCAAGAAGGAACCCCTTTTATGATCACGGAAAACCCAAATGACATTAAAAAAGAAAAGTTGATCATTTTGTCTTACGAATCAGCAAATTCAAACTTGTTGTCTGGGGTGAGTTGTGATGCAGTATGGTGTTTTTTCAGGAAACGATGGGGCTCCTGCAGCTGCTGAAATCCCAGTTCCTGTGCCTCCTGATCATGTGCTACGTTTTCCTGGTGAGCGGCCTTGTGGTCAACCTGTTGCAGCTCTGCACTTTACCTCTGTGGCTGATCGATAAGCAGCTGGCCCGTAGGATCAACATCCGACTGGCCTACTGCATCTCCAGTCGTAAGTACTGCTCCTTCTGCCTGCCACACAGATGACACTTTGTTTCCTTTTGCAACTGGGAGGGAAAGAATCTGAATGGGGGGGGATGTTGTGATAAGACGAACAATAATGCATCAGTTTGCATGAAACCACAAAAGCATTTCTCAAAAACAACCACGCTTCATCTTTTATATTAAAGAGCTTGTCGTTTTCGTATTCTTCTAACGGAGCACTTCGCTCGTTTACTCGTGGTTCCTAGAGTTTCTAAAAGCAGATTGGGAGGCAGCGCTTTCAGTTATCGAGCTCCTCTCTTGTGGAACCAACTTTTAAATTTAATCCACGAGGGCTGTTTTCTCCCCCCCTGTCTACGTTTAAGACGAGACTTCCTGTTCGATAAATATTATCGTTAGGCTTGGCTTGTGTTTCCTGAGGTTCCTGCAGCCTGAGGACATTCTTGCATTTCCTCACTCTGCTGCCGTCTTTGCTCCTTTCTACTTTCCAAGTTTCTGCATGCACTTAATATGAAGCTAAATTAGTTTTAAAAGTAGTCACAAGCGTACAACAAGATCCTTAAGCGTGTCACGCTCCTGTGTCAAATTGCGTAGAAACGTGTGCGCTCCCAATAATTGAATAAATCTGGTAAGGCTTGGATTTCCCAGGTTTTCACGAGCCATGAACGCAACATTACCTTAGTGAATCTGGAGCAGTAAGAAAGTCTCAAGTCACATTAACATGTGAGCTGATCTACATGTTCACATGTACCGTATTTTCTGCCGTACCCGTCGCACCGCCCTATAAGTCGCATTGGTCCAAATATGTCTAAAAAAGAAGAAAAATCCATAAATATGTCGCTTTGCCGTATACATCGCATCTGTTACGCTTCACCGCTGACAACCCGGAAATGTGGACCGGTGTTGTGCCAAGAATCGATGGGCCGCCAAATGGTGACCGCAGGAGTGTGCACAGGAGGACTTTAACAAGAATTTAACAAGATTAGCCCTTGAAAACTATTTTGTTTGCGCAAAATTATAGCAAAGGTGTGTCTCAGTTGAACTTTTACTTAATAAATGCACTTTAATGGTCAAATTAGCTGTATTTCGCCGGGGCAGTGCAGCTGGTTTGACTTGCTCTAAGCAGCGAGTAGAACAAAGGTTGGGGGTATTATGGAAAGCCATTCGTGTCATTAATAGTTGGTGAAGATTCTCAGTCATCCAAGACATGGTAAATTCAAAAAATTTCAAGGAAAAAAAACAATAAAGTATAATAAAGTCGTTTTTTTTTTTTTGTTTGTTTTTTTTGTTGTATTGCCTTACTGCTACTCTTCTGCCATCTAGTGGCTGAAAATGGTACTGTTCAATTTTTTTTATTCAGTCAGATTGAATGAAAACGGTCATATCTCAGGCAAAAATTGGTTTATAAATATGGGAAAAATCCATAAATGCGTTGCTTCAGCCTATAAGTCGCAGGGCATGCAAATTATGCAAAACAAAAAAAAATAACGCAACTTGTAGGCCGCAAAATACGGTATATGACGATTTGTATGTGCATCATAGTACTACTTGTGCAATTTGAAATGTGTACATTAAAAAAAATCAGTTTATTTGCAGTAAACTTGTGGATCTTGTAGGCATACATCTTGCTGTATGCTTGTGACTGCTGTCACTCACTTTGTGTGATCGTCTTGTCTTCCCATAGAAACTCCACCTGGTCCAATCCTTCTGAGTCTATTTCCTGTCCTCTCAAACCCCCAGCTGGGCACCCATCTTAAGCCTGGTTCCTCTGGAGGTTCCTTCCTATTAAAAGGGAGTTCTTTCTCTCCACTGTCTCTAAGGTTCAGGCTCAAGATGGGGATTGCGCCAAAGTGAAGATTTTGACAGTCTACTGACTTCCTTAGCTCAAAATTTCATTTATTGTCATTTCGTAACGTGCTATGTGTTTATTTCCCAGAGCTGGTAGCAGCTCTGGAGTGGTGGTCTGGGACAGAATGCACGCTCTACACTGACCCAAAAAGCTACCCGCTCTATGGGAACGAGAATGCTATTGTGGTTCTTAACCACAGTTTTGAGATTGACTTTCTGTGTGGATGGACCTTCTGTGAACGATTTGGAGTTCTTGGGGTAAGACAGTGTGAGAGTCGCACTTCAGTCCAATTCAGGTTCGATATAGGTCACCATCTTGTTTTCTTTACTTTCAGAGCTCCAAAGTTTTGGCCAAAAAGGAGCTGGCTTATATGCCTGTGATTGGCTGGATGTGGTATTTCCTGGAGATAGTTTTTTGCAAAAGGAAGTGGGAAGAGGACCGAACAACGGTGACTCAGAGCCTTCAAAAACTTCATGATTACCCTGAAAGGTTTTGGGTGGGTTTGAACCCTTGTTGGCCATTCTAAAACCAAGATGACTGAGAGTCATTGGCGTGTTTTAGTTGTTTAATGTGTGATGTTGTTTTTGCCCAAAGTTCCTGCTTTTTTGTGAAGGAACACGCTTCACTCCGAAGAAGCACCAGATCAGCATGCAAGTGGCTGAGAGCAAAGGTCTGCCAAAACTGAAGCACCATCTTCTGCCCAGAACCAAAGGATTCTGGGTAACCGTCCAAAACCTCCGAGGCACCGGTGAGGATCCTTCAGTTGTGACGTTTCTAAGAACGGTTTTTAGAACTCCTACAGCCAACTGCTGCTGTGTGTCTGGTTTAGCTGCTGCTGTTTATGATTCAACGCTAAACTTCAGGAACAACGAAGCACCCACCCTGCTTGGAGTTCTCACCGGGAAGAAATACCATGCTGATTTGTATGTTAGGTAGGAATAAAACATGTTTTTCAGTGAAGAATCCTAGATTAGTCGGTTTACTGGTGTTTTCTATGCTTTGTGATTTTTAACTTTGCTCTTCCTGTTCATTGTAGGAGAATTCCTCTAGAGTCAATTCCAGAAGATGAGGCCGAGTGCTCTGCTTGGCTGCACAAACTTTACCAGGAAAAGGTGAGTTTATAGACACGGTGTCTCCTTCAGGGAGCTGCACATTGGAGAGGGAGTCAGCCACCCAGAACAAAATCATCTCGCTAGTTGCTCTCCTTTGCATATAGCACAGAAAGAAATGCCAGGTATGCATGGTTTTTATGGTGCAACATATTGACTCAAGGTTTGGTCAAAAATAGAAAAATGTTGAACCTTTTTCAACGAGACTATAAACCTGAAATGGAGCAGTACAAACCAATGAATTATCTTTGTTTCTGACATAATAAGCCACCGAGAAAACTCTTGTTAAGGGCTGTTTTTCAGCCCAAGCATCCTTGCTAGATCTCTGAAGAGATCTAGCAACAATGACCCCCCCACCCAATCCCTCCCTGTGGAGGTTTATACGGTGGCCCTGAGGTGTTAATGAACAACATTTGAAAAAACAGAATGACATTAAGCCAAAGCGGAAGTGGCCAAAATCACATTGGAAAAAAGCGGAATTACATTTGAAGGGGGGGGAAGAAACCCACCACTTCCGGTTTTGCTTAATGTAATTCTGTTATTTCAAATATAATTCTGGCCACTTCTGCTTTGGCCACTTCCGCTTTGGCTTAATGTAATTCCGTTTTTTTTTTCTCCCCCAAATGTTGTGTGTGTGTGTGTGTGTGTGTTGATTTTGTTGCGTTTTTTTTTAAATGTAATGGGTTTTTTTTTTATATTCATTTACACCTCAGGGCCGCCATATACTCTGCACACACATGCACTCGCCAGCCATTTTATTAGGCGTACACCAGTTCAGGTGTTGGTACACAAGTGGCTAATCAGCCTATCGCAGCAACAACTCGATACATTTAGGCATCCAGAAGTGGTGAAGACGACTTTCTGAAGCTGAAACTAAGCATCAGACTGAGGGGAAAGAGGGTTGATTGGAACCTCCGTCTTGTTGAAACTCAAATTCACGGTTGGAACTTGTGCCTTCGTGTAAGAAGTTGTTTTCCTCTGAAAAAAGAAGCTGAGAACTTCCTGATGCATGCTCAATAATCCAGGTAGAAAAATCCAAAAAAGTTCAATCTGGTCCTCTGGACATTCAAAAAAACAAAACAAAGCAAAAAAATATAGAAACGTTTCGTCTCATTCAAGAGACTTCCTCAGTCTGAGGTGCTGTATTCAGCTCAGTCTCTTAAATAGCACCTTCTCAGAGTGGATCAACCAGTTTTGCTGCTGACAACCAAAACCAGCTGATCACATGCTCAAGAAGGACCATCAGCCTAACAATGGATCATTAGCACACTGATGGCTGTTTACTATTCACAGAGGGCTGAGTGATACTAGCAATGAATTGTATCACTCAGACAATTAATCGCCCAGCAAAATTTTTTATTGTAACGGGCCTACAGGCACAAGCCTGCATACTTGTGTTTTGTATTTTTATAAAATGTGTAAAATTATATATTTTTTTTCTTCTTTACATAAATCCAGTCTTTTTCTTTTGCCCTAAAATATAAAAATATCTAATAATAATTTGATATTTTAGTTTCAAAATACCACACCTTCTGGCCAGAAAAGCCCCCTTGAAGAAGCTTGAAGTGGGCCATGGGCCACCAGTTGATGATCACATTTCTTAGCAGGTTTTGCAGCTCCAGACATTTTATTAGTGTACAAAGGGGCAGAAATGGCTCTTTTGATCATAAAGGTTGCAGACCCCTGCTCTGATTGGATGTAATGTCTTCACAGGACAGCTTTCAGGAACACTACTCGCAGACGGGACGGTTCCCCGGCCCCGTGATAACTCCTCCACGTCGACCGTGGTCCCTCATCAACTGGATCTTCTGGTGCTGTGTGATGCTGTACCCTCTGGGTCTCCTCCTTGTGCGGCTCGTCAGCTCTGGATCACTGTTCACCATCGTTTCAACCGTGGCCGTGTGCTCTGCAGGTTGGTTACATACAACCCCACACGGCTCAACTAAATATTCATGTTTTAATTTAACCAGCTCCTTTCTGTTCAAATGTTTTATTTAGCAGCAGATTTGACATCTCCAATGTAAGTTCTCCTCTTTTTAGAAGGTCTGGTTTGTTGGTATAAGAGGCATGCTCCTGATAACTTTAAGGCATGGCTGTTGTCTCATGAGGAGCATGGTGCGAGTTTCCACAATGAATCCTGTCCTCATGCTCGTTCGTTGGAATAAAAACGACAAACAAGGTTGTTGTTGGGCAAGGCTTGACCAAAGTGTCGGAGTTGACGCCTAAATTCAAACTTTGTCACAAATTTAAACACCACTTTCTTATTTTCTAAAAACTCTGATTTATTTAGAGGAGAAATTTGTTCAATTCTAAATTACCGTAATTGCCGGGCTATAGAACGCACCCGACTGTGAGCTGTGCATACAAAATTTAAGATGAAACACAATTTTGTACATAAATAAGATGTGCCAGTGTTTAAGCCACGGGTGTCCACAATTTAATACCAGAATCTGCAAAAGCTCCTGGCAGAGTGTGCAGCTCGTGTTGTAGTACAAGAATGAACCGTTAGATGGTGTTTAATAGATGTTGAGTCAACAGACTGCTGATTCTCACAGGGGACTTGATGATGCTTTGCTGTGGGGCTCATGGTTACTGATAATCTGCTCTGGTAAATAACATTCAACCTACAGAATGAACACAAACTAGTCTAAGCAGAACACACTACCAGTAATCACTGGAGAGAACGGTGCTAAACACCTACATAACCGAAATTATTTAAAAATCAACATACCCATAAATTTTACCCACAATTCCTAGTTGAGGTCATGTGACCGGCAATACGTGGAAAAAAATACTACGGCGTTTAAACAGGAAATCTGATAAATGCACGTCTATCTTGGGGGTGTGTTTTTGTAGCTCAATGAGAGTATGATGTTGGGGAGTGGTGGCGCAGAGGTTAGAGAGGTGGGCTTGTGATCCGAAGATCGCCGGTTCACGCCCCGGCCCCGACAACATCAAAAAATTGTGGGGGGGTAGGTGAAACACCCATACTTGCCCCCACCCTCATTCGCCCCACCTTGGGCCCATGAGCAAGGCCCTTAACCCCCACCATGTGCTCCCTAAACAAGTCTCTCTTGAAAATGAGTTCTCGTGGCTCAATGAGACTAACCTGGATAAATAAAGGCTAAATGGAAAAAAAAATAAAAATGATGGGTGACTTCTGGTCACATGGCAACAGAGTGGGGGATTATGGGTATTTACCGGTAGTAGCACAATTGGAACCATGAGCGAGAGGTTTCTGTCATGAATACCTGTGGCATTCACTCTGTCACAAAAGTCTGTCCCCAAAAGGGGTGTGCCTATGAATGGCCAGATGTGTCAAAGGAATATGTTGTTCAGTGGCAGGAAGCTTGGCATCTTGTCAAAATAAGACATAAAAATAAATATAACTTTTTAAAAAGTGCATAAATCAGCCACTCCCGTGTATAAAGCCACGGGTCAAAAGCATGAGAAAGTAGCAGCTTATACACCGGCAATTATGGTAAATTAACTGTAGACGTAGAATATCTTGTATAAAACCACTCTGTTGGCTTGCTGCAATAATAATTTAAATCTAACCTTTTTTTCCCCCTCAGTTTCTGTTGGAATACGCTGGATGATTGGCCAGACTGAGATTAACAGAAGCTCAAATTACGGGATCAAGGAGTCTCCACTAAACAACAACTAAGCAGTTCTGGATTTCAGAGACGCTTCTTTGCAGAGCCACTAATCTTGATGCTGCCAGCTGAATTTATGTTTGTCTAAATTTAAAAAAAGCTCATCTGGCTTGAGTGCAGAGAAGGCTGCGGTACCTCAACGCTGCGCTGCAGAAGCTGAAATGTAAGATCGAGATGCAAAAGTGTCACAAGGTCTTCCAGACGTGACATTGTCCTCTGATCTGAGGGAATATTTCAGCAGATACGCAGGGAGCTTCTTCACTGCCGAAAGAAAATTTTGGATTTAAGCAAGTGAAAGATGAACTACATGTTTGATTGAAATGTAAAGCACTGATGGGATTTATACAATGAAAGATAATAAATGTTTCACCAGGGAAAACGATGTATGAATCGTGATTGTTGAGTAGATGGGTTGTATGCTGTACTCCAGATAAACCAAAAAGACGTGCAACTTTAATTATAAAGCATCCTTTACACACTTAAAGCAGATGGAATCAAAACAAAATCAACTTAAAAAAAAAAAACACATTCAAGATCATTTAAAATCATAACTATAAGTTGTGAAAGGATTAACATGAGGAACCCAAAGAAGTACAATTTCATTAATGAGTAAATACAGGCATTTAAATATAATCAAAACAAATTTTACTATCTAAAGATTGGGCAAACTAATAAAAGTGGTTCTCAACACTGATCCTTGAGGAACACCATCCTGCATATTTTAATTGTTCCCCTGCTCCAACACACCTGATTTAGTGATTTAATTCCGTCAAGTTCTACGGAAGCCTGTTAGTCAGCCAAATTAGGTGTCAAAGCAGGGAAATGACTAAAACACGCAGGATGGTGTTCCTCAAGGACCAGGGTTGGGAACCACTGGTTTGGACCAAGACCATAAACAACCTTGAGAGCCTTGAAATGGAAAGCTGTGCTTTATATTTAGCAAGTTGGAGGAGAAAAAGTATCTTCACTTATTTTTAAATGTTCATTTGACAGTAAAAACAAGTACCTGTGACTAAAATGTGCAAGCAGACGTGGGAAGGGGTGAAGGAGAAACCTGGTGCTCAACCAAGGTTTAAAATGAGAATAATTTACTGACTTTAAGGCCCTGAGTGTCAACTTTTAACTTTAGGTGCAATTAGTGACTATTAAGATGATGAAAACGACAGCAAACATCTCATTTAGGATATGAAAGTGTGCATCTTGGTTACTCCCGTGAGATTTAAGAACTCTCACTGGAGTTTTGACTGTAGTTAATCATTAAGTCCCAGTGAGCTATGATGTCACACCTTGGGAAAACACTGGGTGTGAATTTATAGGCCTATCTGGGAGTGTTCAAGCCGATGTGGAAGTGGCTGTTTCAAAGGTTGTGCAACGTTGACAACACAGCCAGCTTTAAGTAGATGCTTTCGTCCCATTTCATGTCTCCTGGTTACCTGCTGTCCAAGTCTCGTTTTCTCACACTGCGAGTGTGCGCTGTAATGTCTTGTTCATTCGAAGTGCATGTTCAGAGGAAGCTACTTTTTGTGTGTTTCAAGCAGGAGCACAAAAAAATTCAAATGGACTGCAGTAAATGAACATGCTCCAGAGCTGGACACAAATACAAGAGAGAAAAGTAAACCGTTGAGAGAAAACGCTGAGTCTCGGACTCTACGAGCCTCACTCAGTTCAGTGTTTGAACTTCTGTAAAATTAGGAGGACAGAACAAGTAGGGCTCGTTGTTTCCCTAAAGAGAACATGGCGAAACAAGTTGGGTTGCATCTCAACTGGGTTTGTTCAATCATTATGCATGGCGCCGATTCAGGTGAATGTCAAATATGTTAATTCATCAGTCAAACACAAAAACACAAAGGTGGACGGCTGATCTTTTTTTTTTTTTGCACCTGCAGGATCTGGGTCACTGCACATCAAACCTGTCTTCAGTGTTTCAGCTCCAACACTTAAAGTTCGGCTTTGTTTGGTTCAGAAAACACGAGTTATCTCAAACCCAGCAGCAGATCTGTAGCAGAATATCAGAGAAAACTCATTGAAATGGCCCCAAGTACAGACCGTAACCTGCTGAAATACTGTGGAACTCTGAGAAAGTTCTCCATTAAGAGTCCGCATACCCGAATGAACAGAACCAACAGGAGTGGGTCCAAACTCCTCTATCGATGGGGTTTTCTTTAAGATGATGTCACTCAGAAGGCGATTACTATCTAGTCATGGTGGTTCTACAAGCTACTGCATCGTGGATTTTGTTCCTCACACAAGTTTAGAATTGTTTGTGTAAAATAAAATTTGCATGAAAGCATGTCAGGTTCTTTATCTGAGGATGTATTTGCCAAAATTTACAGACCTGTAAAAAATCCTGAATATCTTTTAAATGAAGCATTGATGCGCAAGACCCCAAAACTGAAAGTACTTTTACCTTCTCCTATACAGTAGTCCCTCGTTTATCGCGAGGAGCCATATCCTGAAGCCCCGCGATAAGTGAAAAACCACCAAGTAGGATGTATGTATGCATTTATGTACTGTGTACAGGTCCTTCTCAAAAAATTAGCATTTTGTGATAAAGGTCATTATTTTCCATAATGTAATGATAAAAATGAAACTTTCATATATTTCAGATTCATTGCACACCAACTGAAATATTTCAGGTCTTTAATTGTTTTAATACTGATGATTATGACATACAGCTCATGAAAACCCAAAATGCCTGTCCCAAAAAAATAGCATATCATGAAAAGTTTCTCTAAACAAGCTATTAACCTAACCATCTGAATCAACAACGTAACTCTAAACACCTGCAAAAGATTCCTAAGGCTTTTAAAAACTCCCAGCCTTGTTCATTACTCAAAACCGCAATCATGGGTAAGACTGCCGACCTGACTGCTGTCCAGAAGGCCATCATTGACACCCTCAAGCAAGAGGGTAAGACACAGAAAGAAATTGTTGAATGAATAGGCTGTTCCCAGAGTGCTGTATCAAGGCACCTCAGTGGGAAGTCTGTGGGAAGGGAAAAGTGTGGCAGAAAACGCTGCACAACGAGAAGAGGTGACCGCACCCTGAGGAGGATTGTGGAGAAGGGCTGATTCCAGACCTTGGGGGACCTGCGGAAGCAGTGGACTGAGTCTGGAGTAGAAACATCCAGAGCCACCGTGCACAGGCGTGTGCAGGAAATGGGCTAAAGGTGCCGCATTCCCCAGGTCAAGCCACTCTTGAACAAGAGACTGCGTCAGAAGCATCTCGCCTGGGACTGCTGCTGAGTGGTCCAAAGTTATGTTCTCTGATTACAGTAAATTTTGCATTTCCTTTGGAAATCAAGGTCCCAGAGTCTGGAGGAAGAGAGGAGACACAGAATTCACATTGCTTCAGGTCCAGTGTCAAGTTTCCACAGTCACTGGGGTGTCATGTCATCTGCTGGTGTTGGTCCACTGTGTTTTATCAAGCGCAGGGTCAATGCAGCTAGCTATCAGGAGATTTTGGAGCACTTCATGCTTCCATCTGCTGAAAAGCTTTATGGAGATGAAGACTTCATTTTTCAGCACGACCTGGCACCTGCGCACAGTGCCAAAACCACTGGTAAATGGTTTACTGACCATGGTATTACTGTGCTCAATTGGCCTGCCAACTCTCCTGACCTGAACCCCATAGAGAACCTGTGGGATATTGTGAAGAGAAAGTTGAGAGACGCAAGACCCAACACTCTGGATGAGCTTAAGGCCGCTATCGAAGCATCCTGGACCTCCATAACACCTCAGCAGTGCCACAGGCTGATTGCCTCCATGCCACGCCGCATTGAAGCAGTCATTCATGCAAAAGGATTCCCGACCAAGTATTGAGTGCATAACTGAACATGATTATTTGAAGGTTGGCGTTTTTTGTATTAAAAACACTTGTCTTTCATTGGTGGGATGAAATATGCTAATTTTTTGGGACAGGCATTTTGAGTTTTCATGAGCTGTATGCCATAATCATCAGTATTAAAACAATTAAAGACCTGAAATATTTCTGTTGGTGTGCAATGAATCTGAAATATATGAAAGTTTCATTTTTATCATTACATTATGGAAAATAATGACCTTTATCACAATATGCTAATTTTTTGAGAAGGACCTGTATATATAGTCCCTTGCTACTTCATTGTTTTTTGTGGACACGCTCTATTGCGGCTTTTCAAAATAAAACTGGACATGACACACACTTGGCTGATTGATGGATGAGCCACAAGATCATCATGGAATTTTTATTTAAAATAAATTATTTAGCACCTGCTGCACATTTATGCAGCCCATACTCCTGCAGTTGATCAACTGTTCAGCCTGCAGATCGGAGAAGTGGGCGTGGCCAAAAGCGCTTGCAGGTGGCAGAGTGCAGACGAGGCAGGGAGTTGAAATCATGACACTTTGTGCTCTTTTAGAGCGTTTAAAAACGTTTAGAATATTGCAAGTGTGGGATGGGTTTATATCGTTTTAATATACAGTATATATATATATATATATATATATATATATTTAAATAATAAAACTACTACTTGTACTATTCCTACTTGCTACTCTAATGCTCGAAAAGAGCACGGCATGTCATGATTTCGTCTCTCTGCCTCCAGCTGCACTCTGCCACCTGCCAGTGCTCTCGGCCACGCCCACTTCTCTGCTGCACAGCAGATATGACAGGCTGCAGAAGGAAGCTTCTCCTGCAGTGTGGGCTGTACACAGGTGCTAAATAATTGAAAAGAATTCATTTTAAATAAAAATTCCATGCCGGTTGTGCGGCTCATCCATCTATCAGTCAATCGAGTGTCATGTTCACTCTTACTTTGAAAAACCACGATAGAGCGAGTCCGCGCAAAACAAACCGTTAAGTAGCGAGGGACTACTGTACTAATACTGATTTAATAGCAAGTTGACTTTATTGCTTAAGCAGCGTAAACATCACTTTTTCTAATAAAATAAAAAACACCCATCTCACAAGGACCGTTAATATTTAATGGTATAAACTGCCTATTAGTAACTTGTGCAACCTTAAGCTGATCTTTTTCAGCTTTGTTACAAACACACTTAGTTTATTACAAACTACAGCGTGGACTCTGATCTCGTCATGCGGGACATTAAGAATGGCAACAAGCAAAATTATTAAAAAAAGATTGATTTATTAATATTACTTATACATAGTAACACACTGTAGGAGCAGCAGAGGACCAGAGGTTCGGTGTATGTGTGTGTGGGTGGTGTTCAGCAGCAGGGAGGTGGGGGGCACTGGTCCTGTTCTCCTCTCACATGGCTACGCTCCAGTCTCATTAACAACTCTTCACCTGGGGGAGATGGCGGGGCAGCAGACTTGAACATTGCTCCAAACTGACATCTCAGCTAAGGCAAAATGATAAAAAATAATTCTTTGTGCCAACGCTTGCTGGATGACGAGGGATAAAAAATATTTAAATATTAGATGGATATTCATTTTGTAGAGAGAAATCATTTCCCTCCTTTCACTGAAGCTGAGAGGACTCCCCCTCCTCCACTTGGCTGTTCCCTTGGGTAAACAGTTTAAAAGTGCTAGAAATACTCTCCCACCCTCCCCGTCCAACTTTAAAAACAAACAAACAAAAACAGGATTCCTCAATGCCTTACCAGTGAGAACAAACAAATCTAGCAATAATTAACTTTACAATATTTTTATACAGGGTTTAAGGCCAATCCTCTTCTTACAGTATGTACAGTCCCACCCCCGACCATCATAAAGACATTAAATTTATTTCATAAGTTGTCCTCTGAAATGATATCGTATTAGTTCCTCAGTTTAAATCCATGTGCCTTCATCCGTCGTCTTCACATCCACAGTATTTTCTTCTTCTTTTGCCACCAGCGTGTACAGTAGTGCTTCGGTTTGTAAGCGAAAAAGCCAAAGAGACGTCACTCTTCGTCTGTGCAAACCTGAAAGACGAGGTGCAGAAATCAAGTGAGTGACTGCTGGACCATCAGTGTTGGTGTAAACTGAGAATAATGCTTCACCTTGACAAACGGGTGATCGAGAAGCATGCTGGCCGTCCAGCGACGTTTCGGTTCGCTCTCGAGGCAGTGGCCGAGGAAGTCCTTCCCCTCTGTGCTGATCTTTTCGGGGATGGGAGGTTTGTGGCCCATGCCCACTTTGTACATGATCTGAAAGTTGTGCTCGTACTCGTGCCAGGGCCTCTGCAAGTAAAAAAAAACCCTCAAAGTGAGCCATTTCCTTGTTTTTCCCTTTTGTTTTGTTTTTTATGGCTCAGGAGAATTGGTTAGTTGAGGGGAGGAAATGAGGAAGTGAACATGTTGGGACACGCAGGCGAAAATGAGCATTTTTATCTTTCAGCTACCAAAATAAAAAAAAAGTTCTAACAAACGTTTCTGAACTTGAAATTGCTGTTTCATGTAGCAGCTACAGTCAGCCTGTTATCTTCTTCAAAGTGACAATAACATAACCTTTGCACATTCCTCCCTCTCCTTGAGATCTCTTTCCATCGCTTCTCACCTTTCCAGTCACCATCTCAATGAGGACGCAGCCCAAACTCCAGATGTCTGCTGCGCGCCCATGACCTTCCCCCTTTGCTCTTGTGATGACTTCAGGAGCCATGTACGCTGAAAAATTTAAACACAGGCATTTGGTTACGATCTACGGATGCATTTACAGGTGCTGGTCATAAAATTAAAATATCATGAAAAAGTTGATTTATTTCAGTAATTCCATTCAAAAAGCAAAACTTGTATATACTATTCATTCATTACACACAGACTGATATATTTCAAATGTTTATTTCTTTTAATGTTGATGATTATAACTGACAACTAATGAAAACACCAAATTCAGTATCACAGAAAATTAGTTAAGACCAATAAAAAAAAAGGATTTTTAGACATGTTGGTCAACTGAAAAGTATGAGCATGTACATCACTCAGTACTTAGTCGGGGCTCCTTTTGCCTGGATTACTGCAGCAATGCAGCGTGGCATGGAGTCCATCAGTCTGACACTAGTGCTCAGGTGTTATGAGCCCAGGTTGCTCTGATAGTGGCCTTCAGCTCTTCTGAATTGTTGGATCTGGTGTATCACATCTTCCTCTTCACAATACTCCATAGATTTTCTATGGGATTAAGGTCAGGTGAGTTTGCTGGCCATTTAAGAACAGGGATATCATGGTCCTTAAACCAGGTACTGGTAGCTTTGGCACTGTGTGCAGGTGCCAAGTCCTGCTGGAAAAAGAAACCTGCATCTCCATAAAGTTGGTCAGCAGCAGGAAGCATGAAGTGCTCTAAAACTTCCTGGTAGATGCTGCATTGACCTTGGACCCCAGATAACACAGTGGATCAGCACCAGCAGATGACACGCTCCCCCCCCAAACTATCACTGACTGTGGAAACTTGACACTGGACCTCAAGCAACATGGATTCTGTGCCTCTCCTCTCTTCCTTCAGACTCTGGGACCTAAACCTTGAGCCTCAGATAAATGTTAAATTATTATTTTTAAATATGAACGTTTCTGATGACTTATTTTATGTATGAATATTTCTGTTCAGTGCCCTGCGATGACTTCTGTTGTGACTTGGCGCTATATAAATAAACTGAATTGAATTCCAAAGGAATTGCAAATTTTACTTTCATCAGAGAACATAACTTTGGACCACTCAGCAGCAGTCCAGTATTGTTTGTCTTTAGTCCAGGGGAGACACTTCTGACACTGTCTCATGTTCAAGAGTGGTTTGACACGAGGAATGCAACAGCTGAAACCCATGTCTTGCATACGTCTGTGCGTGGTGGTTCTTGAAGCCCTGACTCCAGCTGCAGTCCACTCTTTGTGAATCTCCCCCACACTTTAGAATGGGTTTTGTTTCAATCCCCTCCAGGGTGCAGTTATCCCTAATGCTTGTACACTTTTTTCTACCACATTGTTTCCCTCCCTTTGCCTCTCTATTAATGTGCTTGGACATAGAGCTCTGTGAACAGCCAGCCTCTTTAGCAATGACCTTTTGTGTCTTGCCCTCCTTGTGCAAGGTGCCAATGGTCGTCTTTTGACAACTGTCAAGTCAGCAGTCTTCCCCATGATTGTGTAGCCTACAGAACTAAACTGAGACCCTTTAAAGGCCTTTGGTAGGTATTTTGAGTTAATTAGCTGATTAAAGTGTGACACCAGGTGTCTTCAATATTGAACCTTTTCACAATATTCTAATTTTCTGAGATACTGAATTTGGGGTTTTCATTAGGTGTCAGTTATAATCAACATTAAAAGAAATAAACATTTGAAATATATCAGTCTGTGTAATGAATGAATATAATATATAAGTTTCACTTTTTGAATGGTATTACTGAAATAAATCAACTTTTTCATGATATTCTAATTTCATGACCAGCACCTGTATAGTATTTTTAATAATATGGCCTGGATTTAGTTAGAAACAAGTTGTTTTGCAGAAAGACGATTAGAATGACAAGACAGAAAACATGTTTAGTGTAGCAACACAGACTTTCAGGAAGTCAAAGGTTTTCTGGTTCGACAGTGATTAGAGTGAAAACAAGGAAAAGGCATCAAATGTCTACAAGAACGTTTTGTTTTGTTACACCACTTCACGTAATCTATGACCTACAATAAGTCATTTCTTTAAGGTTTAAAGATACAACCAAATTTTTACACCTAATTTCAAAACACATATTTCCATTTCTTTGTTGAATCCATGAAAAAAAAAAATTATACTGACGACAATATTTTATTTTAAAGTTGTATGTCTGCACCAACAGGATATGAGCTACTAGCTAAAAACTCGACAGACGGTGATGAAGCAACTGAAAGATGAAGAGTTTCTCTGGTCCAGAGTCAAGTCTTAGCTGGATTTCTAACAAATGACTGCTCATCATGGTCATGTATGGCAAAATAGCTTACTGGTGCAAAAAAAATACAGTTTTAACCTTCTCTAACTGTTAGCTTGGGCACGTTTTGTAAATGCAACTAACGAAATGGGAACAAAAGTGACAACAAAGGGACAGCAGACACCATTTATAACTGGTTATTTGGTAAGAAAATACACTTTTAAAAGAAAAAAATATAAAACGTATATGATTACTTGAAAGAATACATATCATCCACCGCCTCTCGTGCCAGAGTTCATTTTATGACGAGAAAGGACAGAGTTACAGCAGTTGTGGTCAAACCTTGGATGTGATGTTATGCTTAGTCTCACGTGTTCTTGTGAAATGTGTTCACACTCTGAGGTATATGTTGGCGATGATAATCTGCTACACCAAATATAGCTCAGTATCTATAAATCGGAATAAATTATAGCCTTTTTGTGAAGGCAAAGGTCAATAAACTGTGGCAGCCATCTTGTACATGGTTGACTCCAAAAACTAATAAATTACAGGTTTTATATGATTAACGTATTTTCTGCTGTAAACCTTGCACCGCCCTGTAAATCACGTCAGTCCAAATATGTCTAATAAAGTGGAAAAATCCATAAATATGTCGCTTCGCCATATAAGTCACATTTATTATGCGTCACCGCTGACAGCCCGGAAATGTGGACTGGTGTTTTGCCAAAAATCGATTGGCTGCCAAATGGCGGCTGCAGGAGCATGCATGGGAGGACTTTAACAAGAATTTAACAAGCTTAACACTTAAAAACAATTATTTGTTTGCTCAAAATTGTAGCAAATGTGTGTCTCAGTCTAACTTTTCCTTAATAAATGCACTTTGACGATCAAATCAGCTGCATTTTCAAAAGCCAATACACGGAAACAGGAACACGCAGAGGGCGACTCGCTGTCCATTTCTACTAAATTTAACCAGATAAACACCTAAAAACAATTATTTGCTTGCTCTACTTTATAGTAAAGGTGTGTCTTAGTTGAACTTTTACTTAATAAATGCACTTCAGTGGTCAAATCAGCTGCATTTCGCCAGGGAGGCGCAGCGAAATGAAGCTGATTTGACGGTTGCTCCAGGCAGATGACAGTGGCAGGCTATGGCAAGTCAAGTGTGTCATTAATAGCCACTTTTACCTATTACATGACACAACGGCATGCCATACTGCAAAACTGCCATCTAGGGGCTGAAAATGGTAGTGTTTAATATTTTCAGTCAGAATGAATGAAAACGGGTCATATCTCAGCCAAAAATTGGTTTATAAATATGGGAAAAAATCCATAAATAGGTCACTTTGACGTATAAATCGCAGGGCATGCAAATTATGCAAAATACCGCGACTTACACAGCGAAAAATACGGTACTTTCTGAGTTTCAATAAAATCTCTCCTGTGGTTCATGAGATATTTTGCTAACAGACAGACAGTCTTGACACTAAAAATTAATGCAAACATTTTAAACAAAGATGAGTTTGAATTGTTAGCACTTAAAGTGTGTGCTGGGGAAGATATTCAGGTTCTACAACAAATTATAGCTCAATATCTGTAAATCTTCAGCGTTATGGCCACTATTGTTTTTCCTACACTCAGTTATCTATGAAGACCATTCTAAATTGGGTTGATTCCAAAAGTTAATTACCGTAGTTGTAAATGTTCATACATTGATTGTTTTCTGAGTTTCATTCAAATCCGTCCAGTAGTTCATGAGACATTTTGCTAACAGACAGAGCTGAGTCCATACTTAATAGCAAAGTTTTAAAAGCAGATTTTGTGAGAACAGTTAATGATTGGAGTATGTGTTGTGAATGACTAAGATTTTAGCTCAATATCTGTAAAAATGGCTGAGTTGAAGCCATTTTTGTTTTTGCTAAGATTGTGTACTTGTGGTGGCCATCTTGAATTGGTAAAGCCTGGAAGCTTAGGACTTCTGCACATTACTTTACATGTTAGTAACGGACAACACAAAAACATTCATCTGTGTAAATACTGAATACACAGAAAAGACCTGCAGGAGGAGGGAAAAAATGAAATGCCTCCTCTAGGTGGGGCCTGTAACTCTGAGACTTACCTGCTGTTCCCAGAGTGCTGTTCACCTCCCCAGGCATGGTGTGAGTATTGTTCCTCAGCTTGACCGAGCAGCCAAAGTCACCCAGCTTAATCAAGCCAGATGATGTCAGGAAGATATTGGCCCCTGTTGAGAACGAACCAAACAAAGAAACTGGTTATAAACTTTAAGGTCGTCCCACAGGAAGAAAATCGTGTGATATAATCTCAAACCTTTGATGTCACGGTGAACAATGCCATGCTCGTGCAGAACATTGATGGCTGTGGTGATCTGTTTACTGTAAAGCCTGATGACATGTTCCTGGAGTCCCAGTCTGGAGACCTCCTCCAGCGTTCCCTCGTCGCAGTACTCCATAAAGATGTACATCTCCTCCTATAGATGAGTATGTGCATGTTTATACCCATCTGTTTCAGTTTGCAGCACTTGTTACCTGGTTGGACGGGTTGTATGAGAGCGTCCTACCCGATGCAGCTCAACTCCAAAGTATCGCACCAGGTTTGGGTGTTTGATGCCTTCAAATATTTTCAGCTCATCTGCCGTCTCCTTGATGGTTTTGTGATCATTTGGCTGGAATCGGATCTACATAAAAACAAGACGCATTTTTTTAACCATCCTCTAAAATTTGTCTTTCAAAACTTACTGGACTGAATTAGCTGTGCTACACACCTCCTTCATAGCCATCAGCTCTCCAGTGTCAACACTGATGCAGGTGTACACCTTTCCATACTGGCCCTCACCTGATTTCACACAAAATGCAACATCACTATCTGCACGGGTGATAAATGAGCTGCATCATAACCAAAAAGGTCACCCCATAGACGTACCTATCTTGTTGCCCCTCTGCCACTTGAAAGTCACCTTCCGGAGTCCAACATGCATGACGTTGTCGTAGGACTTGGGCGTGTGACACACTTGACCTATGATGTTGCGTTGCTTCATCAAGGCGTACCGCTTCTCGTCGAACTTACGAATGGAGCGACGGACGGCCTCCATTGGGCTTTGTCGCGCTGCCATGTCTGACAGGAGAAACAGGAAGTCAACATTTTGTAATACCGTATGGTCAGTGACGTTCCTTACAAATGAAGGTGCTCACCTTTGGACTGGCTGATGAAGGTGCGGAGCTCCCAGCTTCTGCGTGCGGCGCTGTTTGGATCTCCTTTTGGGTATGAAGGTTCTGCGAGAACAAAATAAAACAATTATACAAGAATTTAAAAGAAGAATGGTAGATATAACAGCCTTGCAGGTTACTAAACACTCCAACCTTCTCTGTCCTCAGTGGGACTGGAGTGGCGGCTCAGGGATTTAAACGTCAACTCTGCTGCCACCGAAGAAAGACGATCATTCTCATGGAAATTGGATCCTCTGTAGAGACATGACAGAAACTCACGCAACAGTCAAAATCTACTCATTTCAGTCTAAAGAAAGATCAAAGTTTGCATTTATTACAATTTCATGCACTAAGTGGCTCTATCAAGTTAATTGTGGAAACCAAGTCATGATTCAAAATTGGGTGCATCATCTTTGAGACATTTTAATCCATCAAATGAGTCAAATTCAATAGACTGGGCATTATTTATAAAGATAAACATATCTCACAAGGCTGACAAGTTATACTGTCAAGCTACAAATTCTCTATCAGATACCATTCCTGCATTATAGCACGGTGGCGGCAGCAGCCTGATATGGGCGTTTGTCAGCAAAATACAGAACTATCCAACTAAGCACCTGAAATTTGTCTCGAGGTGCATCTTTTACAGGGTTCATGACAAATTGCTTGGCCAAGCCATACGTCATATTAATATATTTGAAAATGGAATTTAAACAAAAATCTAAGTTGGAATTTTGTCTGGTAGTGCTCTAATTACAAACTAAAATGTTTAAACTGTAAAGTCACGGGTTTGAATATATACGTGTCTGAAATTCTGATTTTGGTTTTCTAATAAAGGATTTAATTATGGTATAATACATAAAATTAGATTTAAAAATGGAAAAGAGTTAGGGGCCCCGATTTCCTTAATTTTGGGAGATCGGACGATACATGAAAAACTGATTTTACAGAGTTTTTGTAGTTTTAACAATTGTCTAAACTTCATTTATATTTCAGAGCACTACTTCATGGCCAGTTAAAACAAGTTTGTATCATTTCTAGGATATAGTTCAAGGGTATGTTTTTCAATAAAATAAGATTAGAAAATTGAAGGTGCATTGTGACCTTATAACACCCGACAGTGTCGTTTATAAAACAAAATTGGAACGGGCCAGTCAGGCTTTTTAGAGATCGGTGATCTAAAAAGAACATCTGTTAACACTTCCCAAGAAGCAGGGGCTCGTCTTAGAGTACCTTTTGAAGTCCATTGTGAGTTCAGAATCAATTCTTGTCTTTCACACAAGGTTAGATTGCTCAAATAAGCATTCCGATTTCAAGCCCACACTAATGCGCCACAAGAGTGTAAAAGCAGTAAATCACCAGCGTCAAAGCAAGACTGATGCAAAGAGAACTAAAAAGCAGACTATTATACGTCACGCTTTCATTGAGGCAGAGTTCATTTTCACATCATGCACAACAATCAAGTCTCTTCCCATGACCAGTGGTTAGAACTTGTGTGAAGTTTGGATATGTTCTATTTTCAACTTTGATCACATGTATGCTTTATCAAAGCCTTTAAAACTCAGAGGGTTTAGAAATCGATTTTTAGATTTAGAAAAATCATCAGTGGACGTCACCAATTCCCTGCCAACTGTATTTTCAGCATCTAATCAGCAAATTAATAATAATTAAAAAACAAAATGCTGTGTTATGGACGCAGCATCAGTTTTGATGACATGCAAGGTAGAAGGATAATGCCTCAGGATTTGAGTTGGAACAAAGATTAAAAAAAAACTTTTAAAAAGATCGAATACACGCAAACTAAAACTTCTTAAAATAAAAATAAAAAATTACGGTGAATGAAATCTTTACGTGCTAGATATGCTATAATATTGAATTTTATGTTCGTTTCAGGACAGTGAGGAAGATAAAATCAATATCAGTCAAGATTATTAACCAAAACCTCAAATATATTTATGCCGTATATCCTTCAACAGAACCAGCTATATTTAAGAAGTCAACACCATGGGCTAAAACAACAACCATGAGGCATTTCCTTGTTCCATTACTGGAAACTTTACAATGATTTTCATTTGTCACTGAGGCTGTCTCTGCGAGCATTTCTGCTTTAGGACAAGGCTACCTGACTTCACTGGGGCTGCTGCCAAGTGCTTTCATGTGGCTTTGTTCCCCTGGGCCCTGAGGGACGGGCCGAGGGCCATTGGGGAATAGCTGGTTCCGAAGATCGCAGGGAAGACTTCGAGAGCTGCGTGGTGAAAAAACACACTGAGGAGCGCTGCTTAGGGAGGTGGGCTTTGTGAACAGATGTATGCGTGGGTGACTGGTTGTGGGACAGACACTCAATCTCGATATTAAACGTAAGCATTAAACATACTCATTACAAAGACACACAGATCTGTAAAGATGAAATATATATATATATATATATATTGTTCCCTCATTTATCACAGGTGTCAGGGACCATGCCTCCCTGTGATAAGTGAAAAACCGTGTAACAGAGATACAGTAGTCCAAGTAGTAGTAGTACATTTTAGTATATTATATATATATATATATATATATATATATATATATATATATATATTCTAAACAATGTTTCTAAATGCTATAAAAGAGCACAGAATGTCATGATTTCAGCTCTCTGCCTCCTACTACACTTTGCCATCTGCAAGCGCTTTCGGCCACGCCCACTTCTTTGGTGCAGAGCGGAGATACGACACGCTGCAGAAGGAAGCTTCTACTGCAGCTGTGGGCTGCATACAGGTGCTAAATCATTTATTTTAAATAAAAATTCCATGCCAATTGTGTGTCTCATCCATCAATCAGCCAATTGTGCGTCATGTCCAATCTTATTTTGAAAAACTGTGACAGAGCGAGTCCGCGAGAAATGAATCGTAAAGTAGCGAGGGACTACTGTGTGTATATAAGCAGCATATGCACACAGAGGCTGACACATGCTTGTTTTGAAAGTGAAATGATAAAATAAAGCCATGCAGTAAAGCATTCAAAGAAAAAAAACTTCAAAAACTTGAACTTTAGTAACTTACCTGAAACCTTCAGCATTGGGAATAAACAAATTGGGGTTCGGTGGATCACTATGACAGCGCACAGGGGCAGGAACTTTCACAGGACGAGGACTATTCCTGGGAGCTGGAAAGACAAACACCCACAGTATATTCACAGATTCAAATATGTAGTTAAATAATACACATTTTAATCGTTTTTGTGCATTTAGTGTCAGCTTTGATTAAAAACATTTTCCAATGGGACCGCTGAGCATATTCCAACTTCTATGGAATAATGATATCAAACAAGCGGCTCAGTTATTTTCATAGCTTTGTGTAGTGATGGTTTTTACTCATGTGGCTTTTAGCTTGGCAAGGTTGTGACGCAGCTGAAGTTTAACCTATGCTGGGATTAGGCATGTCGCGATAAACAACAAATCAATTGATCGCATGAATAGGGAATTTGGATGGCAAAAGGCTCAACTCCGGTGTTCTTCACTGACCCCTCCCTTTTTCTTTTCTTTAAAATCTGTTTTAACCGTCCAAAATCGTGTTTTTGGATTGTTAAAAGCAGCTAAGCTGAGAAGCTAAGCTACGAGCTAAGCTAACAGGCCGACCTCGGAGAAAAAAACCTCTGTCTTGTCAAAGCTCCAAAATTCACAGTTGAAACCCGTGATTTCGTGGAAAAAGTTTTTCTCTGCAAAAAGAAGCTGAGAACTTGTTTACTGATTTTTTTAAATTAAAAACTTTGTGTGAAAAATGCTATGCTAAAGAGCTCAAACCACACGGAGTCCGCCATTTTGAGAACCGAAAAACAGGAACGAGAGAACGCTCATGTCACGTCAAGAGGCCTCCCTTCCATTTTTCTTAAAGAGACACGCTGCTCGCTCCCTCACTATCCATCCTTCGGCTCAAACTGTCTTATACTGCCATCTAGTGGTCAAAAAAGGTACTAGACACAGAAATTAACCAACATTTCTTCTTAAATTTGACATTACTAATTATCATTGTCTAATTTCAAACAATATTATCGTTTATCACAGTAATTTCTGAGACAATTAATGGCCCAGTAAAATTTGTTATCGTGACAGGCCTAGATGGGATGTGTTCTAACAAACACCCAGTTAAAAAAAACAAACTTAACACTCTTGACCCTGCAAGACCACTGAGTGCAGAGTGTTACGATGAAGAGTGGCACAAATAAACCTTTTTATTGCCATGGTGAGCCACAGATACAGAGTCTTCCAACACTTCATACCACAGCAGAGCAACTTACGGATGTAGATGCCAGTAACTGGGCTATGAGGTTTTCCAATCACATGTCCAATACATTCATTCATCAAGGCTTGCAAGCTCTGTAAAAAATAAAATCACCATCCAATCATGCCTTTTGTATAAGATACATAAAACAAATAAATAAAAAAACGTAAACCCTTACCAGGAAATCCTCCTCTGGTAAGGCAGATATAAAGGCTGGTTCGATGGCCTGAAGAAAGTCAAAACCCTGAGTCGCCCACCTGTGGAAGAGGAACAGTAAGGTCAATCTGTGTGCCCCAAAACTTCAGATGGTCTGAAGAGGAAAGTGAAAGTTGGGACACCACTTGAGCTCCTAATTAGAAAGACATAACTTGTACTTAAGTCATCATAGCAATACACCAATGTCATTAATGTTTTGTTGCAATCTAAGCTGATTGTCCTCTGAAGAAGGATCACTGAAATTCAAACAGCTAAAAACAAAATCAAATTTGAGTTTGGTCTATTTACACAACTTGTTGCTCATAAGTTGCTTATAAAACTACAAATAAAATGCTAGTTTAACATTTTGCCATACGTTCCTGCAGTAAGGAATCTGTGATGTTTTCCACTGCAGCTGAAATTAAGGCTTTTGTTTTCAGCAGGTGAATTTTAGCTCATTCTGACTGAAATCACACGACGACATGGAATGGAGAGCATCTCTGCTATCAACTCTGCTGCTTTTGCATAGAGATAAGACAGTACATCCTTGCACACTTCTGAATTTATCTTTTTGTCACTAGTCAATAAACACTATTGACTTGAACAATGTTTATGTGTGATGTTGTACTTGCCCTGCTGAGGTCTTTCCTTTATGAAAGACATTGTGGTAAGTAACATTAAAATCAGCCACTTTTCTGTTTTTTCTGGATGTTGTAAGGGGTGTTTTCCACTTTACCATGAACTATTCTTGCCTTCATCAATCTCTTTAGTCTTCTACCGTCATATGGGCCTTTTAATTTTGCAGATCTCAACGTATTCTTGATTTCAGAGTAGAAAGACCCGTTTCACTTGCATTTAGAATTCTTTGACAACGCAGTAAATGCTACTGGAAAAATCAAATTGAAGTCTCTTCAACACATACCGTAATTTCTGGACTATAAGCCACTACTTTTTCAAAGGCTTATACAACGCTGCGGCTAATTAATGGATTTTTTTTTTTTTGACTGGCTAACAAGCTTCATGCTGCCAAAATATTTAGCATCGTCACACCCAGGCACTCACATAGCTGCCCAATACATGTCTCTCTTGTGGGCTGGGTCCTCGTGACTCAATGAGACTACCTGTATAAATAAAAGGTAAAAAAAAAAAAAATCTGACCAATGAAATTACCAAGGTCACAGTGGACCAATAAAATGGGGAAGGGAGGAGAGAACGGGGAGCAACTTTTGCTCAAGTCTGCCAGTGGATCCTCACAGCGGAGCAGGAGGAGGATGAAGATAGCAATTTACGACTTCTGGTAGACTACTGTGTTTTTTTTTTTACCAGCCGTGTTACAGGCACTGAAAAAAACCAATTACTGTATGTATTTGTGTACGTTACCGATATGTATTTAATTAAAAGTTTTAAAAAATCTTTCTGTATAAATACCTCATATTACAACATGGACACATAAATATGTACAAAATTATTATTATATATAATTTTTTATTATTATCTATTATTATTATTATATGTAATTTTTATATATTGTTATTATTTTATATGTAAAAAATTAGTTTATAATTTCTGGCCTATATATGACAAAATTATTATTTTTTTATTTAGTGGGAGCGGCTTATATTCGGGTGCGCTCAATAGTCCGGAAATTACGGTAATCAATAAGTTTAATTGTGAACAAACAGAAGACACCAGTTTACTATAACAAACTGAGTTATGCTACATTTTAGAGAAATTTCTGTAATTTCTAAATCCTTCCTTTAATTTGGAAATGGTAACCCTCAAATTAAAGCTGTCAATCTACAATTTTTAATTAATTTAATAGAGGAACAGAACACTGGCTGACAGAGCAAATGAATGTAAAGAATGACAAGCACATGTCAGTATTTACAAATAGAAAGTTGGGTCTCACCTAGGCTTGGTGCCCCTGCCACTCTCGCATTTGGTCAGAACATACGTCATCCATTTCTGCGCAAAAGCTATGTAGCGTTCACCGATCCTCTGTCTGAACTCCCCTGACATCAAGCGAACCACCTCCTTGTGGTACTATTAATAAAACAGTAAACAGCTGAAATAAAAAAAGCAAGTAAACACACACAGTCACTTTGTATTCCCTAAAAATATTTTACCTCAAAGGCAAAATTGTATCCCTGGATCATCGCCTCCCTGTAGTACTGATGCAGAGTAGCCGACTCAGAATCCTCCACCTCCGCCTCAAACTCTGTGGTGAACATGTACTCCACTTGGTCAATTGCTGTGCTTATCTTGACACACAGCTGCAGGGCTTTGTTCTGTGCCAAGAAAAAAAAAGTCAAGAATTACGAGTTAACAATTAGGTTATTATCATGCAAAGTTTTGTGTAGAAAGCAACTGATGGCAGCTTCACCACAGAATGCAGATCGCATACAGTGATACATTTTTCCTCTACGTGGTAATGTGGTATTGAATGGAACAGCTATTTAAGTTTAGTAGGTTTGCTTTTTTAGGGTAAATGAGCACAGCTGCAGTAAAAACAGATATGAATGTAGAACACAGATAAGCAACTGTCTATTCAATACATAACACAGGGTTATGTAAGCACCTTCAAATCTTCAAGAGCGCTAGCAATGAGAGGCTGACTTGATGTTTGCTCTCGGCTAAGAGTAAGCACATCCTCCATGGACTGCTGAAAAGCCTTCCGCTGGCTCACCAGATGAGATGACTGCATCACAATTAGGAGCAAATTCTCCACCTAAAAGACAAGTCGGATCAGTGAAAGCTCTCCAAACGCCAAAAACGCATTAAAATCCAAGCGGTAACATACCTTCATGGCCTTTAAAGTGTCAACGGTTTCCATCTGTGGGACCAGTTTGAGCAGCTCACCGTCCCACTGAGCCCAGTCAGAATCTGTATTCGAGTCCCCGGCTCCATGTTTGCTCATGAGCAGGTAGGCTTCAAACTCTACAATTTCATCATGCTCTTTTGAGCAGTCTTTGCCAGCAGCAGCATTCAGAAGCTGAAGAATGAGAGGCCGCTGATCCATTAAGCAACTGGGAACAAACACCTGAAGCTCTTCCAAGCCTGGTATCTGAACCTGGAGATAAAAGTGTCAAAGAGTTACATAAATGACATAAAAGAAAAAAAACTGTACAGTATAAAATAAATAAAAAAAACTTGGGAAAATCAAAAAACAAGGACACCTTGACATAGTTTCCCTTTTTCAGAGCCTTCAGAAGACAAGACACCCCACTGGCAATGCTAAAAGCTGCAGCTATCTCCAAATCCTGCAGAGAGGGAATCAAACAAAGTGTAGGAAAACACATTCAGTGGGCTGAGTGAACAGGTGATGACTTCACTGCAAAATGAGTAAGGCTGTGATTTTTGGTTTCACACAATGATTGTCACCTTGCGGAGCATTTTGGCAAAGCCCAGAGCCTTTGACGCTCGCTCCCGGGCCTCGTGGAACAGCTCTTTCAGTGACCGACTAGTTTTAATAACTGGTCGCCTATAAAATACAAAAAAATATAATAAAATAAAAAATGTTGAATACAGTACTGCCATTGGACTGAAAACAAGGACAAATTTATGTAATTATTACTTATTAAGTGTTTTTTTCTTCTTCTTTCTTACCTGATCTCATCAGAAGCTGTGTTGTCATCAGCGCTTTCCCAGAACTGATTCCCGCTTTTCTGCAAACCAGCATCAAGGAACTCTCCAGTGGACTCCAGCAGCATGCCAGCAATGTTACTGCAAAAGCAATTACAGTCCTTGTTTTTATTAAAATGTTGGTCTTGCAACTCAATACTTATTGAGATAGCTCAGATTTTTGAAGCTGTGACTTTAAGCAGTGATTCTGAGTAGTCTGCATTGCACCTTACTGCAATCAGTCTTTTTTTATGCGTTACAGCTAAGGTTAACCCAGGACAGCAACGACAACAACGTAGGACAGCAACGACAACAACGTAGGACTGCACCGATACCACGTTTTATTTTCAAACCAAGCACCAAAGTTTGAGCACCTGCCATGTACCGATACTTACCGAGTACTAACATGAATACTAATTAATGCTATTATACTTTTTAAAATTACAGAAATCCCTCGATACTTCGCGGTTGGTTTATCGCAGATTCGCTCTATCGCAGTTTTTCAAAATAAGATTGGACATGACACACAATTGGCTGATTGATGGATGAGCTGCACGATCAGCACGGAATTTTTATTTTAAATAAATTATTTTAAACTATTTGGCACCTCTGCGCAGCACACACTGCAGGATAAACTTCCTCCTGCAGCTGAACAGCTGATCTGCGTGCAGAGTGGAGAAGTGGGCGTGGCCAAGAGCACTTGCAGGTGGCAAAGAGCAGAGGAGGCACAGAGAGGGAAATCACGACATTCTGTGCACTTTTAGAGTGTTTAGAAACATTGTTTAGAATATTGCAAGACTGCTATTAGCAAACTGTTTGAACTCTACACTTTATTAGTTTTTTTAAATGATACTAGATTTCATCCCTCCTCTTGGCAGTTTTGCTGAGCATAAGTTGAAGTCAGCTTTACTTTTGCCTTCATAGTTCACGTCAAAATACCTACATGTTTTCATTTTTTACATTTGATGGCTGTTAGCAAACAACTTTGTGGAGCACTAACATCACCAACTGGTAAGGATTGTAAAAACGAATGGGGGAAAAAAAAAAATAAAAACATTGCTTTTTATTTTCTTGCACAACCACCTGACTGCTCACCAGTACTGGTTACTGTGATACTGGAACATTGAGTACAAATACAAGTACACACACGTACATAAAATGGACCAAAACCTGATACTGGTATAAGTGCATCCCTGCACTAAAGCTTCTCCACATTGGCTATGACAAGTCTGTTTTTTGTTGTTGTTTTAGGCCTGTGGAAAGTTACAATAATACAAAAAACTTTAAAGGTTACTTTAATCATTTCATAGATGGAATAGCTAGTAATTGTGTTTGGCAGAGACATTTGATATGCTCTGTTACAGTTTTCATAATGAGCTGAGAGTTGGTTGCTTGCAGGGGCCAGCAGTGGACAAAACAACCCTGCCCACGTCTTTATTGCCCCAAGCTGTTGGGCCACTCGACAAGTTGGAAGTCAGGTTACGTTCTGCAGGTTGACTCACCAGAAAAGTTCCCCAGACTGGGCCTCCCCTCCACGAATGTATGGAGTGATGACTTTAGTGAAGTTCCATTCCTCCTCTAAGAGGTTCTTTAAGCTGTGGGAGGCTTGAGGCAACTCCTGTAACATCTTGATCCAACTGCGCATATACTCAAAATAAACCTATAAAACAGAACAACGTTATGCAACTACACTACTTTTTTATGCAACTTTAAGAATGCAGAAATCATCAGCTTTTGGGATTAAACAAAAATTTCCATCTTTAAAGAACTCAGAGGAACTCTTACCACTAGCATTTTGTGAAGGTCTTCTTCAAACTCGTCAATATTGGCATTTGTTTGCAAGCCTTGAGCATCAGTCCCCACGCCACGAAGCATGAACTGATAATACTGCTTCATCAGAAGGCCTCCTTTAAGAACCTCTTTACATTCACGCACCAACTGCTTGATACTGAGCAGCGAAGGGTCTCCAGCCGGCCTCTGTTCAAGTCGTAGTTTAAGGCATTCGTGAATAACGTTGAGGAGGACTCTGCACAGCTTGAGGAATGCTGGCTGGAAGGACGGGAGATCCATGTTCAGCAAATCCTCCCAGGACACCTGGTCGGCTCCTAACTTGGGATCAGTTTGACAACTGGTAGACAATACGTGGTGTGACAGCTCTGGCAGGTAATCACTGTACATCATGGGGTCTGGGGAGTCTGCAAACTGCAGGTGGAAAAAGTACAGTAAACTTACATGTTTAAGTACAGTATTTCTAAAACTATCGTTTTAAAAACTTTAAAAATAGCATTCAAAACTCTTTTCTGGTTCCTCAGCCCATTACAGATGTCTAAACATAACTTGTAAATGGTAAATAGACTGTACTTGTATAGCACCTTTCTATATTATCAAGATACTCAAAGTACTTTACACTACAATTTGTGCCCTCATTTATACATTCATACAGCACTCTACTAGATCTATACAAAGAATAATCAATGCTTTATCACATTCATACACCGATGGGACACACATCAGAGGCAATGAGGGGTCCAGTGTCTTGCCCATGGACACTTTGGCATGTGACTGCTGGTGGAATCAAACCCCCAACTCTTGCACTGGAGGACGACTGCTCTAACCACTCAGACACAGCTGCCCTTGTGTCTCCTGCAAGCTTGTTTCTTCTATAACAATCAAAAGTTAGTTAAAGTTAAAGGTAAGTGCTATATGTCATCACTGTATGTTCCCATAAAATGACGTAATTGGTTCTCTGCATTTATCCGATCACACCTGGGATACACCCAGGTGGAGCAGTGGGCAAGCTACCGAGTGCCCGGGAAGCAAATTAGGGATAAGGTTTCTGGCTCAGAGACACCACGACATGTGGGGCTCAGAGTCCCCACGACATGTGGGAATGGCTGGGAGTCAAACCGCGACTTTCTGGTCCCAAGTCGGCTGCCCTGTCTATGCCCCATCTCGGCCCCTAAATGGATGATCTACTGCAATAAATGCAACTATTAATTTAACAGTCCTTTTTTATTCTTTTACCTATCATATTATAGCATTAAGGTATGTATTATTCAACATTGATTAATGGAAAAAATCTCAAAATATCCTTCACATTATGGGAAATCCAGCTTGCAATATGACTCCTGTCCACCTGATATATATAAATAAAATTGACTTCATCTGATGTTTGCCTGGTTGTAAATTTGCTGAGAATACTGCACCTAGTTTAGAGAAATGCTTCAAACTGTATCACCACACTGACCCTGAAAATATAATCAGCTTTCCAAGAAAACGTGGTTCATATCATCTTTTTTTTACTTTTGACAAAATAATCTAGCAGACATTTGGTCCAAACTCTGTCATGATTGTTCAAAACAAGCAACAAATATATGAAATACACCAGAAATTAGTTCATTACGGGACTACAAAAAAAAAACTGTTTTCATTATTGGTTCATATGATTGCTTCTCCAGGAAAATATTGTTAAATGGAGGAAAAAAGGCTACAGTAAAATTATATTTAAAAAGGAAAACACTGGAATAAAATCACTAAAATAAGAATATAGTAATAACAAATGGCACTAGCAATATTTTGATCCATAATAATGAATACAACGTTTCAAGCTTCACATATATTTAACAAGGACATCTTTAATATGTCATTTGTCTCTTAATCCTGCAATGAGACATCTCCCAATAATCCAGTGATATTGGTAAATTTCAACAGTGTGCTTTGTGAAAATTATCAGTGACACAGTAGTAGTTTATCAAAATCTCTGTTAAGCTGCACTTGTGTAGATATAATAATTAAACGTGCGCTTAAAGATAATTTTAAGCGCATATCAAGCACAGCTGGCAAACAGAGTGAAAATTAAGTGTAGTCTGTGTCAGTGATACCAATTAAAAAATGACTTAGCATTCCTTGAAGGAATGCACATCAACCATGGCCAGAGTTTAAGACTACCGTATATTCCGCCGTACAAGTCGCATCAGTCCAAATATGTCTAATAAAGTGGAAAAATCCATAAATACGTTGCTTTGGTGTGTAAGTTGCAGGGCATGTAAATTATGCAACAAAAAAAAAAAAAAAAAAAAAAAAACAACAACGTGACTTATAGAGTGAAAAAATATGGTCATCATCTTATGTGACAGAATTATATTAAAGCTGCTTTGGTCAACCCTTGAGAATAACATTACGTGATCTCATGCGACATCTCACACTCATGATATGTTATAACTCTCAGCTACTACCTCATCGAATTTTAAACCAATGTCTACAAAAAATACAGAGTTATAGCTATCTTAGTAATGGCTAAGGTTACTTTATGAATACCAAAGTTCATGCTCAATAATCCAGGTAGAAAAATCCAACAAAGTTAAGTCAGGTCCTCTGGACGGTTACTTTTTGTAGAAACGTTTCATCTCTCATGCAAAAGACTTCCATCAGTCCGAGGAGCCACAAAAAACTCAGTTTTATAAATAAAAACCATCAAACTGGTTGACCCACTATGTGAAGGTGGTATTTATAAGACTGAGTTCGTTGTGGCTCCTCGGACTGATCAAGTCTTTTGGATGAAAAACGAAACGTTTCAACAAAAAAGAAACTGTGGATTACTTTCTGAATGTTTCATTAAAATGAAACAAATGGGTAATTTGATATGGTGTTAATAGACAGGGTTGACTCTGGCAGGTTATACTAAAGTTTGAAACAAAGAGCTTGCAGAATGAGCAGCCCGTACAGCAGGGGTGTCCAAGCCAAGTCCTCGACACCCACTATCCTACATATTTTACTTCTTTCCATGCTCCACCACACCTCGATCAATGATTGAATTACCAGTATCTCCTTATGTTTTGCAAAAGGGGCAGCACGGTGGCACAGTTGGTAGAGCTGCTGCCTCTCAGTGAACAGGTTGCCCTGGTTCAAATCCCAGTCCAGGGAAAAATAAATAAATAAATAACTGATTTATCTATTCATGTTTTACAAAATCCTGTTAATCACCCATTTATTCAAACCAAGTGTGTTTTAGCAGAGAAACATCGAAAACATGGAGGATAACGGCCCTCAAGGACCAGGACTGGACACCCCTGACTTAAGAGTACTGGTATGTATTGTGAATGACCCTCATCTACACCCACATCAAATTTTAGCCCAATATTTGTAAGGCAATTTCCGTATTTTCTAGGGTCACTTGGATGTGGCAGCTATCTCATATTGGGAAGTCTTCAAAAAGTTAATCAATTGTAGATGTAGATCCAATGATTACTTTCTGAAAGCTTCATTAAAATTCCTCTGGTGGTTCACGACATATTTTGGTAACAAACATCAGAACATGCACACACACGGGCAAAAACATTGCCGTCCGCTTTTGCCTTTTAGCAATAAAGATTTGATCTGGATCCTCATCTGATACTTGGAATCTGATATAGAAACAAAAAAACACCACATGGTTCGGCCATAACAGTGTTAGAGAACGTTTGATTTTGTTCTGTTCAATGAGAAATTATTTATAATGAACTGGTATTAGCGCAGTGTTTAAGAAATGATGGCATTACCTCAAGTGCAGGAGTGTGTCGAAGCAGCGCTGCTCTGGCCCTCTGAAGAGATCGGTCCATGAGTTTGTGTAGTCTAAGTATCAATTTACGCAGTCCCATCTGTTTCAAAGCTTTATCCACAAATGGTCTGTAAATGGCTGTGGGGCAGAAAACTTCTCCTATTGCAGTCAATTCTGAATTTCTAGCAGTAGCAGTTGGGAGAAACTCCTCCTCTGACAGCAGTCGAGCAAATTTAGGAGTCAAGGTGGGAGAAAGCTCTCCCTCCGTTATGTGCTCAACTTCCTCCTGCTCCTCCTCCTCGACATCTCGGTCCTCTCGGTCACTTTCAGGTGTAAAAGTAGCCGTAGAGTCATTTTCCCCATCTTCCTCATTATCATCTTCATTTCCACGGGAGCAGCGGGGTGAGGGTATCTCAAAGACAGGCCACCCGATACGGGATAAGTCATGTAGGCCCAACACGGTGGCCATAACACGCAGCTTCTGGTTGAGGTCTTGGGTGATGTTGAGCCACAGACAGAGTGCCTGCACCCTGCCCTGAAAGTCTCGAGCTGCATATTTATCGTAGTCCTTCTGTAACGCCTGCAATGAGGGGTACAAAGCTTCAACAGATTCCAACAGTTCCATAACCTGTTTGACCTGCTCAAAGGCTAGCCGTTGGCATTGAAGATGCTCCTTGCAATCAGTGCCAGAACCTAGAGGCTCTGCTGCATTCATTGCTGAAGACGATGAGGCACTGAAGCCCCAGTGATCTAATCCACAGTGGTTGGTCTTTGCTACAGGAACCTCCTCATCTCCAGAAACAAGATGTGGAACATTCTGACAGTTCCCCTGGACTGTTTGAGCCTCTGAACACTGAGCTCCTCTCAGGCTGCCATAGTTTACCTTAAAGTGCAGCACTTTGTTGATGATGTCAGGGATGACTTGACGGGCAGTGAAAAGATAAAGGTCTTGGTCATGGGTGGAACGGCGTGCGTGCCAAGCCTGCAGCTCCAACCAAATGACCTCATTGTTGTGACCCATAAAAGCCATGTTCTCCAAGCCTCTCTGCTCCTTCTCCTTCCTCTTAGAGGACATAGATGTTAGCTTAAGTAGCAGACGCAGAGTTTCAAAGAACTTGAGGCGGTCAGCGGGACAGTCTGTCCTTGAGGTTTGCCGATGGGTTCGAGCTATATGGGGCATGCTCACAGGTAGCTTACCACTGCTGCAGCCCAAGCTTAAGTAATGCTTCCTGGGATCCATATTGATGGGACCAAAATGGCTTGACTTTGCATGCTCTACTATTATAAAAGAGCCTTCGAAGGTCTTCTTCTGGTCTCTTTCTATAGAACGGAGAGTGGCCTTTTGTTTCTTTCCCTGCTTGTAGTTGTGATCCTCAGGGGTCTCTGCTGGTTTGGGACCGTCTCTCTGAGCAGCGGGGCTAACATCTGCTGGATTGCAGACTCAAAGTGAGTACCATACAGGCATAATTTCCATAGAATTATTTAACAAATACACTGATTACGTTACCTTTGTTTGGAGACCGACCTGCACTTCTTTGGCCAGCTTTCTGATTCTTGCCATGCATGCGCTTTATTTGACGTGCAGAATAAGGAGGTGTTGTGCCATAAATCACTTCCTCTTCCTCACTGGGCGTGTCCCAGGAGTCATCCATCTCAGAGTTCTGCTGGGACGCATTTCCCCTGCCCGGTCTGTGAAGAATAAATGGCGTTAAGGAAAATTTGACCGAACAAATATGTGACACACGTTGTTTATTTATTTATTTACATAAACTAGAAGAAATGCCATGTGGCAAGATGTTGGACCATTTCAATCATGTAGAAAATTAAAACCCATGAAATGTGTGTGTAATTAGGCCTGTCGCGATAAACAATAAATCAATTAATCACATGATAAATAAAAATTATCGACATCATTTTCATTTATCGGCTTTATTGTTTCTTCGTGTCTCTCTCTTTCTACTGAAGACACTGGATGACAAAAAGCTCAACTCCGGTGCTCTTCACTGACCCCTCCCTTTCTCTTTTCTCTTTAAAATCCATGTTAACCATGCAAAATCGCCTTTTTGGATCATTAAAAGCAGCTAAGCTGAGAAGCTAAGCTACAAGCTAAGCTAAGCTAAGCTAACAGGCCAACCTCAGGGAAAAAAACCCTCCGTCTTGTCGAAGCTCCAAAATTCACGGTTGAAACCCGTGCCTTTGTGTAAAAAAGTTTTTCTTTGCAAAAAGAAGCTGAGAACTTATTTACTGATTTTTTTAATTAAAAGCTTTGTGTGAAAAATGTAATGCTAAAGAGCTCAAACCACACCAAGCGGCTGCCATTTTGAGAACCGGAGACAGCCCATGTCACGTCAAGGGGCCTCCCTCCCATTTTTCTTAAAGAGACACGCTGCTCGCTCCCTCACTATCCATCCTTCAATTCAAACAGTCTTATACTGCCATCCGGTGGTCAAAAATGGTACTACATGCAAAACAAATTAAACATTTCTTCTTAAAATTGACATTACTAATTATTGTCAAATTTCAAATAATAATATCGCTTATCACAATAATTTCTGAGACAATTAATCGCCCAGCAAAATTTGTTATGACAGGCCTATGTGTAAGGACAAACTGCACTGAGTTATTTGCTCCCATAGCAAATCACTTCTAATGCATGACAAACAAGTTGCTAAATTGTAACTAGACTCAGTATCTGCAGTTGTCAACAGTAAGAATCAGAAGTCCATCTGTTGGAATCTGGCTTCCTTCTAAATGTATTACAGCAGTGTTCTGTGCAAGCCTAAAGCCGTCTAGATGAAGGATAATAACCTATGGTAAACATGGTCACTCAAACGGATACATGGCTACGTTCATTAAATATGACTGCTAAGGCAACATCTACGCTGCAAAAACCAAGACTTCTAAGAACACCGAGTCAATCCCAGGTGCACAAATGTTAAACCAACTGCAAACTAAGTAAGAATGTAAAACAACTTGTTACTTCATTAGATCAAAGTGAACCTTGAGAAACAACAAAAATGCAGACATCATGGTGGCTTAACAACATTTCAACATGACTATGAATTCCAAGTAAAAAAAATTAAAAAAACTTTTGAGGATCTAGTTGCAGAAAGCAGAAAACACTCAAATTAACTTGAACCTTTTCCTTTAAGGAACAAAACGACAACCCTTCCTGGATCGTAAAGTCAATAGCTTTGTTTTGCAATGCCTTTTTATGAGTATTTTTTTAAACAGGATTAGAGAGAAGGGCATCCCTGAACCCACTCCGCTGACCCTCAATAAAAACAGACAATAATAAAAAATAAAAAAAAGATGTGGAGCAGCATTAAAATGAGTGATATTTGTACGGATCACCATTAGTTATTTCACTTAAAGGCATTTCCCAACACGTGTCTGTTAATGTGCGTACAGACGGAACAGAAAGGGGCAAAGCTATATCCTTTTCCCTGGGGAGAAAGTGTGTTAAGGCGTGAAGGAGGGGTAATCTGAAAATCAGTTGTTGAGGCTTTTCAGGGAGCCAAAGAGAGAAGATCCAGATTCTATTGCCCATCTGCCCTATCGCAAAATCTGTCTCTCTCCAAAGAAATGCACAATGACTCTGTGAGCAGCTGGACAAGAAAGGCAGACAGACACCTGCTGCTTATTCTGCAAGTCTAGGTATACCAGCAATTTAATATAGAAAAAATGAGAAACTGCTTGGATGTTAACAATATTGCTCATAACAACCAGGCTTGCTGAGTCAGATATTTGATAATGATCTTAATATTCTAGTTTTATCCTTACAATTTAGGAGAACTGGTTTTGCACTAGCAGAAAATAGGCCCAATGAGTCATTTTCATTGTAATAATAGAGCATTAGAAACCACTATAAATTATTTTTTACAACTAGAATCATATCCCTGTAACAATGCAACTATGTATTTCAAAACCTCTTTTCCTTCAAAATTTTGCTGCATCAGGTGATGAATGAACATTTGTAAACTTTACAAGAGACATGCATAGCCCTGGGGTGCCTAAGGACAAAAATAGCCCATGCATGAGAGAGGGAATGAAACCAAGTTTTAAAAAAAATAAAAAATTTGTACATGCAGAAGAGCAGCATGACTAAATCACTCAGGAATGAAAAAAGGGCCAGTGACGCCATCACTGCCGGTTGTTTGTTAGGTTGCCATGGGACATTTCAAGCACACGTTGTGCAGTTGCAGGAAAGGCTGTGAAAATTCTTGAGTTTTTTTATTTTTATTTTTTAATTTTCCCTAAACCTACGCACAGACTGCACAGAAAAAGTTGGTGGCCTGCAAGTCTTGCAGTTAACCACAGCCACACTATGGTCCTCAAGCTGCCCCTGCTGACTACCACCAGTGAATTATCACTGCAGATGGTGTCTGGCTGCGCTCAATGGCTCATCGGATGGCTCATTGGAACTCCAATAAAGGCCAGTGGAATGCTACAGCCCCCAGGCAGAAACACTAAGTGAATAATAAACAGCACAGAATCTAAAGTCTTTTCTGAATAGAGACAAGCAGAGATACGAAGGGTTGCCAGAGTCAGGAGGGTGGCAGGGGGGCTGACCTTTGACATCAACCATCCACTCTATTATACAAGCAAGGGGCACTCTATTGAATAGCTCTGACACGTGGCCAGTGAGGCCCACAGCTGAATGCCACACAGCTGGTAAGTGAGCACACTTGCTCACAATGTCCAAACTAAAGGGGATTTTTTACTAAAAGAGAGGAAAAGGAGGAGAAGGTGACAGAGGTTTTGTAAGAGCACACTTTGCTCTAATTAGGTCATGCTAGCATAACTGAAGGTCTGCAGGCTAAATGCATACTTTGATGACCCCCCACTCCTCACTGTAAAAAGCATGTGCCAGCTAAGCAACTCCTTTGAGCCCATAGTTAAGAGTTGACAATTGTCATGCAAATAAAATGTGCACATGTAATTTCTTTCCTATAGCAGTGCAGCAAATCAATATGAATCTCTGAGCAGTGGCCATCCTGCAAGAAATGGGCAGAACTGATGAGATTATTTTGTCGTATGGTTTTAATCATGGTTTTTCGGAATTCAGAAACAATGAACACCATGTACGTGACCACACCCATTCCCCTGAACAGTGTGACATTGCAAGGATTGGACCTCCCTGCCTTCCCAACTTAGAACTGTGCAAAGCATTAAATGTGTATGTGTGCAACAGAGGGCTTTTTCCCTGCAGTATATATATATTTTACAGTAAATGCATGATTACAAATCATTGCTGGGTTTACTGTTTAGACTGCTTGTAGCATGAGTCATACAGTAAATGGAGCGATTTTCAGTTTATTTACTGCACAACCCTTACATTACAAATGCATCCATCTGCTCCAATTTTGAAACTCGATCTGAAATTGTGGCGTCACACGCAACAGACCCGACTTGCGCTTTCTTTTGCAGCCATGCATGCTACAAACATCAAATCTAGCCCATAGTCCTGTAATTCTAAAGCACTTAGCTACCTCTGATTGTTTCCTTCGTCATTAACAATATTCCACAATCTAGGAAACATCAGCTGCCACAGAGTCGTTATCACAAAGATGCTATTGTCTCAAAGGAATAACAGATGAGAGAGAGGGAGAGAATGTGAAAGCTTCCATCTCTAAAGCAGGTGTGGGCAGAGATAGGATGCAGTTAGGAAATGCTAGAGGACAGTCCATCTGTATTCTGCAGCCTGCGCTGCTGGCAAATGTAGGCATTAATGAGTTCTGCCCAAAGAGATCCTGCAAGACTCTAGACAGCAATCTACAGCACACAGTGCACCACATCCTGCAATCTCTGGAATGCCTGTGAGCCACAATGTCTTCAGACAGGCTGAGAATGAGACATTATTGACAAAGGACCTCTGTACTTGCAAAGATAGAGATAGCCTTCAATTGTTGAGCGAGCACATAACTCATCTTTCTCAACATAGCTGTGCAGTAATGTAGTTTATTTTGCAGAGCTCTGCACTCTGCACACAACAGACAGAATATGGATTCCCTGCTAAATTTGCAGCTTTGACCATGTGTTGTCACCACAGATTTGCCATTTATCTATTAAGATTTTTTCTAAAAACATGACTACATCCGTAAAACAGACTGAAAAAAATGTGTGCATAATATTAAACTTTGGTGTGTGAACAATAAATACCTGATTTGCTCTCATCAATTGCACAGATTCATTATTCCTAGTGAAATTAAATGGGACACAGCAATACAAATACACAAGGCCAGTATTGCATAATATGGGCTGTTTGTGTATCCAGTTTAACACAACTGGTTTGCACGTAATTATTAGTGAAATCCCGGGCAAAAAACAGAACACTGGGTATTTCCTTAAGACCAGGATTATGGGACAAAGACCTGATCCAAGCAGATAAATGCCCTGAAAGTTGCTCGCTCTGCAAACAAACAACTGTTTGTAAAAGAGGGAGGAGAGGGGAAGACATAACAGCGGATTCCTAAGGGTCAGACTGGGGGGGGCAGTTTTTCCGATTTATGTGCACTAGTGACAAAACGTCCTAAATAATGGCATGCATTCTGCAAAAAAAAAACATATCGATGTTCATCGACTTTAATAATGCAAACTCCTTCAGACTAATGCAATAATGAGTCAACTTTACAAACCCGGTAACACAGCAACTATTACACGGTTTTAGATTTTTAAAAAATAAAGAAATGTGCACAAAGCGTGGAGTTCACGAACAACAGAAACGAAAAGTCCAGCTGAAGGATTAACAACAACAGTGGTGCACAGCACGCTAGCTACAGCCAGCGAAGTTTGCGGTTCGATGAATTTGCACATCTCAAATAAACAAAACAACAACGCCTCAAAAGTCCGCGTAGAGAAACCCACCTTTTGACAAAACCCTTCAAACTTCAGCTCGGTTCGTGCGCGTTGGGAACAATAAACTGACACGAAGAGGCGACACTAGCTAAGCGAGGATGTTAGCTTGACATGTTTGCACAGTTATTCCTCCCGTCTTTATCTTATCGCGTGACAAGCGTTTTATCTTTCACGGTTGAGGCCAAAATTATCAATTAAGAATGTAATATCCTCGACAAAAGTGCGATTAGAACGTCGGCTCGGAAAAAAAAAAGTTTACAACTCCTCCGTTGCAAATGCATTCGCTGCAAGCGTACCACTGTTTGACAGGAAGTGGATTTCTGAAGGAGTGCGCGAGCGGCTCCCTATTTAGCAACGCGGGCTCTCGGTGGTACAGCGTCTGTTCAACAAAACCGCATACCTGCTGGGTTTGTTCCGATCCGGAGGCTCCATAGCAAAACAGCGGCGTTTTGTTCCTAGCCGTGCATGGACTAGAGCATGTCTACTTAATGTCGGACACACTTTGCACTTCTAAATCTTTGCAACGAAGGTGGATTTTTGGCTCTTTAAAGCACTTTCCTTCCGCCGGCACCGTAGCCTTTCGCTTGTGCGTATGCCGTCGCCATCTTTCTCAACGTTCATTGAGGAGGAGCGCCTCAGCCTTTCATTGCTACGGCAGCCGAGATGGGTCAAGCTCCCATGTAATAACTGAGCATGGAGTCAGTGCCTGTTTTTATCCACAGGGCACAGTCATAAAGAATCAGTTACACTTTGGTCATGACTTGACCCATAAGCCTGAAATGTTAGGGAGTGGATACAAGTTTTAAACCCTGCTTTATTTGTTTCTGAGTGGCTTTCAAGCTGCCATATTCTGTAGTTCTCCATAATTTCTCAAGCAATATCAAAAGCTTTTAGTTTTGTTTTTATGTGTTTTAATTTTCTGTCCACATCGTGACCAGAGTATGCTTAGACAAGTGAGCGCACAACACAAGTTCAAGCTTGGAAATCATTTTGTGCCTGAGTCATTCAAAGGTCAGATTTGTGTAGCTTAACAAACAAAAATATTCCTGTGAAAGCAGCAGGTGCCTGACAATAAGTGAAAGGGCAACAAGTAAATAAATCGAATTCCTTCAATAGAGAATTATTGCTCAAGACCTATTTAAAAAAGAAGAGTCTAAATTTTAAAAACAAAAAATTGTACATTTCAGAGAAATACTCATATGTTACATGGACAAGTCTATGAACAGGTTTCAGAAATAAATGTATCTGGAGATACAAATATCCTGGAGTCCTCCAAAAAGATGTTTTAACTTTTTGGCGTGCAGTAACATGTTAAAATTTCTCACATTTAAGAGTGCAACCCTAATCAATTACAGTTTTACAGATCAACGCCCACTGAATCTAATGTGATCTAAGTTTACTGAAGATTTTAAACATCATATCTAAATGGTTGTAAAAGCACTTTATTTGTGCATATTAAAGGTATTCATATTTAATACTTGAATAAGCATCAGACTTGCATTCATTACACCAACTCTTACATGCAATTTATTGTTGTAATACTTATTAATTTATAGTTATTATTTTGTATTTTTGTTTTCTTGAGTGAACTAGCTGGAGTGAGTCAGATTAACTCATGAAACCTGTGATGAGAGGTCACATTTAGACTCTGAGTGTGTTTCCTGTCTCCCAAATATGGATAAATTTCTAATTAATTTTGATGAGTCGCATCAGTTAAAAACAGGAAGTCCTGCTTTGTGTTGTGCTCAGCAGCGATCCTTAGCTTTTGATAAGGGAATTATATTGGAATCAGTTTATGCAAGTGTTTAAATTTAGATTCAGGCATAGTTTGTTGACCTCTGAGAGGAAATACCATCACTACAGTGCTCCATTTGTGGTAATAACATAACTATGTAAGTGCATAGTGATAAAGTGGTGTGTAAAATAATGAATTTAAAAGTTCAAGAGTTCTCAGTAAATATGCTGATATTATTTGTAACATTCAGCATCAAAAGGAGCCAGTTGAGGTGGTTCTGCCATCTGATAAGGATGCCACCCGGACACTTTTTTAGGGAGTGGCTTTGAGCACGTCCAACTGAGTGGACATCCTGGGGAATACCCTGGACACGCTAGAAAGACTGTGTCTCTTGGCTGGCCTGAGAATGCCTTGGAAATCTCTGCTGAAAGTGGTGGCTGTGGAAAGAGATGTCTTGGCCTCCCAGCTCAAGGTGCTGCCCCACAACCTGATTCAGGAACAAGCAGCATCTGAACAATTGTTGTGTATTTGTGTTTTTAGTTACCTGTTTGTGAAGAAAATCCCAACTGCAGTCTTTTAAATGACAGAGTCCAAGAAGGAGACAGTTTTCAATTTGATGTCCACAAAGAAATAAAAATCTACTTTTTAACCTATTCAGAAACTAATAGTGTGAATGTGTATGCATTCACACTTTTATGATCCATTTCTCTTCTGTACATTTTTTTTGACGTTTTTCTCGTTCAACAATTTTTGTGCTATTTCAACAAATCATAAATCAAAACGTTCAGCTCTTTCAGGACAATCCTTCTATGACTTTTGGTATTGGTGCAACTTTAGCTTTTTGAAATATTTAGCTTTTCTGCCATTTTTCCCCTCATAGAAAATGAACTGAGCTCATTTTACGTCCTTCAAATCTTTAGATGTGTTTACAACCTTTAACTGCTCCTTTCATATTTTGTTTTGGTTCAGCTTCTTTCAACTTCCTTGTGCAAATTTGCAAATTTTTCCAGCTACTTTCTTCCAATTTCAGCTGTTTTTTTTTTTTTTTTCCTGCTGTTTCGTGCTCCTTTCAGATTCTTTCTGCAAGTTTCAGCTTTTTCTGTTATTTCAGCTGTTTTTATGCTAATTTTAGCTTTTTTGAACTAATGCAACTATTTTTTTCAGCCTAATTTAGCAAAAATGTGCTCCATCCACTTCATTCTGGTAATATAAGTTTATTTCTGCTTCTTTAGCTACCGGTACTATTCAGCTGTTTTTTGTTGTTGTTGTTGTTGTTTTTTGCGTGATTGTTTGCAAATTTCTGCATTTTTGGGGTATTTTTCACTTTTTGGTACTAATTTCTGCTTCTTTCATCCTAATTAGGTACAATTGTGCTCTCTCCACTTCCTTCTGGTAATTTACGCTTCTCTCTACCTTTTATAGCTACTATTCAGCTGTTATTTTAATTGTTCTTGTTGTTGTTGCTAATTCATACTTTTTTTTTCATATAATTTCCACTTTTTTGTGACCTTTTCTGCTTCTTTCAGCCCAATTGGACACAGTTGTGCTCTCTTCTTTTCCTTCTGGTAATTTAAGCTTCATTCTTCTTTTTTTCTACTTTTAAGCTGTTTTATTTCTAATTTCAGCTTTGTGGTTAATTTCCTAATTTTGTGCTAGTTGCTGCTTATTTAAATCTAATTCAGTAAAGATGCATTATTTCTTTCTTCTGCTAACTTGGTCTTGTTCTTCCAGTTCAGCTACATTTCAGCATGTTTTTAGCTAAATTCAGCTGTTTTCAGCAAGTTCTTCTGCAACAAGCATTCACACTTCATTTTCACAGGAAATGCAATTTCTCTAGTTTTTTGGTTGTTGTTATTTCTATATTCAGGGCTGTTTAATGAAAATGAAAAGTAGCAGTTGCTAATTCCAGTCATCCTATAATAGTGATATATTAAAAAATGTAGGATGTTTGGTCAATTTCTTTATGTTATTTTAATGTGTTCTCTTCTATTGGTGATACTTTTGCTCAAGCTCAGATGACAGCAAATAAACACAATATTCAGGCATGATGCACATTGTTCATTTAAACTTTATTTCAGTTTGTTTAAAGTGGTCCCTCAGTTTTTAACAATATTAAAACAGTTGTTGACAATTTAACTGCATAATTTAGTTCTAGATGATTTCTGGATATGCAGAGGCCTCAAGTGAAAGAGTCTAAGTATCTGGGTGTCTTGTTCATGATTGATGGAGAGGGAGATGGATCAACGCCTTGTCATCAGTAATGAGGTTGTTGTTTTGGTCAGTCCTAGTGAAGAAAGAGTTGAGTCACTGGGTAGCCAGTTGTTATTTAAACCCTAAGATGATGAACTGACAAGCTTGTTTTTTTTTTTAAACGTTCAAATCATTCATTTGTCATCATCTCACAACCAGTGACTGAGCCAACCTGCATGTGCGACGTGACGTCACACACAGAACACTGTGTTTACCAAAGTAAATATGGATGCAACACATTGGCATGTGTGCATCCTTCCTCCCTTACACAAATTCACAACCACAAGCAGGTTTCAGCTGAAATCAAGACCTACAATCTAAAAGCAGTGTCCTCCATCATTAGATTTCTGCTATTCTACACCAAAAAGTTATTCAAATCTTTTTTGTACCATTGTCACAGTTAGGTTTTTGTCTGTTGTATTATAAAGCATTGTCCATAAAGCAACCTGAAGTTAATAGTTCAATCTAGAAGATAACCTTATACTCTGAAACCATACGCCCCCTCAGTAGGTGAAAACTTTACACTTACAGCAGCAAACTGCTACATTCAAACTTACTTTTGTTTATGTTCTACATCTAAAACTTATGCGTAATTAAAAAAAAACTGGCGTGAAAATAATTAATTTAAAGAGTAAAATCTAGATGGACGAAGAGACAAACTGCTGTATTTTAATTTTAGTGCCACAAAAACTTAGATGCGACTTTTGCTTTATTAGTCACATTATAATATAATATGTTTGGGATTGGTGTTGCAGATGTTAGAGAGGTGGGCCTGTGATTGGAAAGTCGCCGGTGCGACTCCCCGTACTGAAAACATAAAAATGTGGGTGGGAAAGGTGAAGCACTCACACCTACCTCTGCCTCCACCTTCATTTGCCCCCACTCTGGGTCCTTAACCTTCACCATCTGCTCCCCCGGATGCCCTCGATGGCGGCTCTCTCCTCCACACAGAGGGCTGTGGTAGCTCAGTGGGCTGTGGTTGTGTCAGGAATGGTATCCGGCGTAAAAACAACAGCCAAACCTTTGTGCGAGATAGCTCACTGTGGCGACTGCTGAAGAAGGGAGCAGCCGAAAGAAGAAGAAGAAGTCACGTTAGTGGTGGGCACAACTCCACTAACAGCTAATAGCAGAACTGAATTTTTGTTTAGCAGATTATCGTTTTTGCTATCGTTGGAAACCGTTAACGGAATTAGCTTCTGCTAAATTAGGTTTCGCCAACTTTAAGTTCATTAACACAATTCACAAACTTGTTCTTGTCTTTAGTCGGCGTCCCAACAAGTCCGCTGTGCAGTTATTATTCTACTTGACCTTAACCTTGACCTCTCTGAGTGGCTTCAAACATCTGCTAACTTCCTGGCAAAAACCAATGCAGACATGTTCTTGTTTTTAGTTTTCTACACCGCCCTACAATAGCTGTTTTTTTTTTAAATTACATTTTCTTTTAAGTACCATTTTATTTTCACGCATCCTTTATGATTGTCTTTGTTGTCCACTGTTGTCATCACTCTGTGTTAAAATCAGGTCTCTCTTGTGAGTCCCCGAGGCTCAATGAGATTAACCTGTATAAATAAAAGTTGAATGAAAATTCAAAAAGTGACTGCATTTGCCTAATTATCATCAAATACTTAAGAAATTGTTCTATTCCTCTGGTGTCAAAAAGGTGACGGCTGCTCACTACAGCAGTGAATTAAGAGACGCGGTTTCAAAGCTGCCTCTCCAATAAATACCTGTGCTGCTAACACTTCCTCGTGCTTCAGATTCACTTCCAAAAGTGGGATTTTTCTGGAAATCCAGACCTTTATTTAGACGAATCAAAATTTGGACTGATTCCTCTTTCACAATCACATGAAACCACAACTGTTCTGATGAAAAACAAGGTGTTCAATAGTTAACAAAGACACGAATCCCACGTTACCTGTAAACAACCAGCACAACAGGTGTATTGACTCTGCAACACATCTGGGTGAATGACATCAAGTTTTAGTGACTATGTTGTCTCATAATTAGTGATCTAACTAAGTAAGTCAGTTGATTAGAATTTAAACAATTAAAGATAATGGGTGTGTGGATTAAAATAGAAAACTAAGTGTGCAATCACCAACTATAAAACTTTCTTATTTTTGGAAAGGAGTTTCTACATTCAGCAGGTAAAATGAGCCCAAATTACATTTTTATTTAAAAAACTGAAGCTGATATTAGCATAACGTGTTTAATAGATTCATGTTTAATGTTTTTTTTTTAAATTTGATACACTACAGATTGCACTATTTTTACACAAAGGATAAAAGTATTAACTTCCAGTGACATACATTGCTTTAATGCCATGTAATTATATTGAAATGCATGGTAATTATGTAAACCCATTGCAAATGTGCTAACATTTGATTTATTATTTAATAAATTATAGCAAAACTTCTTTCACTGCCATCTGTTGTTGACAGGAAATTCACCTAAGGCAAATTTAGCCTATTATTACACAATGAAGTAAAAGTGGGCTAAGGGCTAAACTCGATTTTCTACTTTGATGTCTCGGTTTTTGTCTGTCGGTGTGTTTCACATTCTGCCAAGCCCGTCGGGGCGTTTCCTCCTCCTTTTAATAATAACCAGTTTGCGGCAAATGATGACGTTCACTGTATTTTTTTGTTCCGAATGGAAACTGAAAGAAGAAGCTGAACAGGTCAGTCCTTCACATGAAACACAGGAAGAGGAACTGTGACGTCACGCGAGCTTTAGAACTGCCACATAGGTTGCTGCCTTCACGGCAAAATTAAAGCTCGGAAATAAAACAAGCCACCATTTATCGTTATCGTGTTGCTTTTTCTTGGCTGCCAAAATCAAAAGTTTAAGATTAATAAACGACGCCAATTATATATATTTCTATATCTACTACCATGCAACAACTGCGCAAGCAGAGACGGTTTACTCAAATAGGTTATACGTTTACCTAATGTTTTCGATGGTACGTAAACGCATCCATAGCCACGACAGGTTTCGCGGAGGGGGAAGAGGATACTCAGTCGAGCTTTGTTCTTAACATCATACTGGCAACACCGTAGGGATTTATTTATTAGTTTATCAAGGGTAATTAATACAGAGGGGATAGCTTCTCAAAAATGCTTCAGTCTCTAGCCAGCAATTCGTGTGTGCGTTTGATTCAAAACCACAAATCAACGTGGTATTTTCTGTTTTTAATTCTGGGCTACGTGCTTTATCTTATATTCGGCGCTGTCGTGTTTTCTTCGGTCGAGCTGCCTTACGAGGACCTCCTGCGCCAGGAGCTGAGGGCCCTCAAGAAGCAGTTCCTCCAGGAGAACGAGTGTTTGTCTGAGGAGCGGCTGGAGCGATTTTTAAAGAAAGCGCTCGAGGCCAGTAACTACGGCGTTTCAATCTTGAATAATGCCTCGGCGAACTGGAACTGGGACTTCACGTCTGCTTTGTTTTTTGCCAGCACGGTGCTTTCCACCACAGGTAGGTCACCGCTCAGGTGATGCGCTGCGGCTGCAGGCCAGCAGGTGCGCAGCTAGACATTTTTTGGACCTCGGGAGCCCCCTTCAAAAAAAAAAAAAAAAACCTGTTAGGGTTTAAAATAAAATAGAGGCTACATTTCATCTTGCCATGCCACACCTTTAAGTGATTCAGTATTTACTCTTTTGTTTTTATATCCATTTTTTTCTATGCAAACATTCAGCTCATCCAGCAGATCAGAGCTATGATTTTTTTTTTGTACCTCCTATACTTAAAAAAAACTCCCCACAACTTTGTTTACACATATTTCCTCCCATAGAAATACAGTACGGTCTCCACATTTCCTTTAAAAATATTTTTCTCTTTAAAACCCGTTTCAGCACACTTGCTCTATTTTAGTAGCTACTTTTAGAGATTCGCAAGCTTTTAGCTAAAAAAAAAAAAAAGGTTTGTAGGCTCAATCATCCAGGTAGATAACAAAAGAAGGTTAAATAATTTCATCTGGACCAGTTTCTTTAAGGGAGAAACGTTTTGTCTTACATCCAGAAGACTTCTTCAGTCTGTGACCTGCCAACCAGATCTGTCCCGTAAGTAGCCTTCATTGCTGTGTTTCAAGCCAACGTCCTGTTGGGATCTCAGAGGCAGGCTTTTAACACATGCAAAAGGACCCATCTGTTGCCCTTTAGCTTTTAGCTACTATTCTGCTACTTTTTTTTTTATAGCTACTATATACTCTTAACATTTACCCACTGTTTTACTACTTTTACTTTAAGCCTTTTGCTACTTTTAGCTTTTAACTAGCATTTTGCTGCTTTTAGCTTCTAGCTCACTTATTGCTTCACTTTTCACAAACCTTTAACTGCTGATAGTCTGCGTTTACCTACTTTTAGTTTTTAATTAGCCTTTTACTGCTTTTATCTTTTTAACTAACCTTTTGCTGCTTTTAGCTTCTAGCTAGCATTTTTGCTTAACTTTTCACCAACCTTTATCTGCTGATAGCCAGTGTTTTGCTACTTTTAGCTTTTAACCAGCATTTTACCACTTTTAGCTTGTAACCAGGTTTTTGCTACTTTTAGTTTTTAACTAGCCTTTAGCTACTTTTAGCTTTTAACCAGACTTTTACCACTTTTAGCTTTTAACTAGCCTTTTGCTGCTTTTAGCTTTTTAACTAACCTTATGCTGTTTTTAGCTTCTAGCTATCATTTTTGCTTAACTTGTCACTAAGCTTTA